TTCCTTCTACTCGCTCTGGGTTTTTTTGTTTGTTTGTTTGTTTGCTTTCAAGTTCTTTAAGTTGTGAGGTTAGATAGTCTATTAGAAATTTTTTTGTTTCTTGAGGTAGGTCTATAGTACTATGAACTTTCCTCTCAAAACAAGGCTTTCACTGCATCCCATAGATTTCGTGTTGTTGTGTGTTCATTTTCATTTGTTTCCAGGAAGTTTTTAATTTCTCCCTTGATCTCCTCAGTAACCCATTCGTTGTTTAATAACATGCTATTTAGCCTCCATGTGTTCAAATGTCTTTGCATGTTCTTGTTGCAATTGATTTCTAGTTTCATGCCATTGTCATCTGAGAAGATGCTTGATATGATTTCAATCTTCTTGAACTTGTGGAGACATAGTTTGTGTCCTAACATGTTCCATGTGCACTTGAGAAGAATGTGAATTCTGCAGTCTTATGGTGTAATTTTCTGTAGATATCTATTAAATCCATTTGGTTTAATGCTTCATTTAGAGTCTCTGTTTCCATGCTAACTTCTTGTCAAGAGGATCTATCCAGTGATGTCAGCAGGGTGTTGAAGTCCCCTGCTATGATTGTATTGCTATCAGTTTCTCCTTTGAAGTCCTCCAGAAGATTGTAATATATTTTGGTGCTCCTATATTGGGTGCATATATGTTTACCAAGGTTATATCTTCCTGTTGGATAGATCCTTTCAATATTATGTAGTGGCCTTCTTTGTGTCTCGTTATGGCCTTCATTTTGAAATCTATTTTATCATATATGAGTATTGCTACCCCAGCTTTTTTTCCCTTTCCGTTTGCTTGGAAGATTTTTTTCCATCCCTTCACTTTCAACCTATGTGAGTCAAATGGTGTGAGTTGGGTCTCTTGTAAATAACATATTTATGGGTTATGCTTTCTAATACAATCAGCTACTCAATTTTTTTATCGGCCCATTCAATCCATTTATATTTAAGGTGATTATTGATATGTACTTATTTATTGCCACTTTTGTTTAATGTGGTTAAATTTTTCTTCCTATTTCTTCTACTAGTTACAGAAGTCCTTTTAACATTTCTAGCAGTGCTGGTTTGGTGTTAATTTATTCCCTTAGCCTTTTTTTTTTTTGGGTCTGGAAAGCTCTATATTTGACCTTCTATTTTGAATGATAGCCTTGCTGAATAGAGTAGTCTTGGATTCAGATCCTCATTTTTCATGACCTTGATTACCTCATGCCATTCCCTTCTGGCCTGTAGAGTTTCTGTTGAGAAGTCAGCTGAGAGCCTTATGGGGGTTCCTTTGTAGGTAACCTGTTGCTTATCTCTTGCTGCCTATAGTATTCTCTCTTTGACTTTAATTTTTGGCATTTTAATTACTATGTGTCTTGGTTTGGGCCTGTTTGGGTTCTTCTTACTTGAGGCTCTCTGTGCTTCTTGAACTTGAATGCCTTCTTCCTTCACCAAATTAGGAAAGTTTTCTGTCAATATTTCTTGAAATATATTCTCTAACCCTTGCTCATTTTTTTTTCTTCAGGGACTCCTCAGATGCGAATATTATTACAGTTCTAGTTCTCCCACATTTCTCTTAAGCTGTCTTCCTGTTTTTTAATTGTTTTTTCTTTTTGGTTTCCTGATTGGTTGATTTTTTCTACCCTGTCTTCTATTTCACTGATCCGATCCTCAGCTTCCTCTACTCTGCTGTTTAGTCCTTCCAAAATGTTCTTTATTTCAGCTATGTCATTCTTTATTTCTTCTTGGTGATTTTTCATTTCCAATTGGTTGATTTTCAATGTTTCTGTGTGTTTACTCATGGTGTTGTTTGTCCTTACACATGCTGTTGAGCTTTCTTAAGATCATTGCTCTGAATTCTAGCTCTGTTAACTTGCTTAACTGCATTTCATTTATCTCACATTTGGTAGAGGTCTGTTGTTCTTTCATTTGGTATTTGTTTCTTTGTTTTACCATTTTCGCTATTTCAGTGGGTTTTGGACCCTGCCAAATTTTTTCTGTGGGTGTTCATGTTCTGTTGTTTGTGGCTCCCTCTCTGGATTTGGATGAGCCAGGGAGGACCCATGTTGTACACCACTGTCAAGTCTTACTTTTCTGGATATATTTGAAAGCCCAGAAATGGTTCAGTTATCCTCTAGCTTTTCACCTGGAGGCCATTGGTAGCAGTTACTTGAAGAGCCTTGGGTTCTCAGTTGAATAAAAAACTCCCTCAGGTGTTCAGATTAAGGGATTTCCCAAGGGTGGGGCAGATGCTGGTTGTTAATGGGCCTCAATTTGCATTTAAATGTCCACCGGGTGGGGTTGAATCTCCAAGGTAGGGGCTGCCTCTTCCTACAAAGGGGAGCCCTTCAAAGGGGTTAGATAGCCACCATCCTGCGTGACCACAACTCAGCAAAAGATCTGAGCGCCCTTCAAATCCCAAGTGTCCCCATACAGTTCCAGTCTAGTCTGTCCTTTCTCTGCCAGAGCCCAAGATGAGTCCCTGTGGCTATTTTAGCATCTGTCCCAGCTCTCTGCACTGTGGAGCCACTTGGGAGTTTAACCCTGAGGGTGCTGCTCACAGCTAAGACTGCTGCTGTTCGTGGGCTCCCAGCCCCCCTCTTGTGCCTCTGCAATCCTACCAGGATCAGCTTGGTGTCCCTGGTTATATGGTCCTTGCAAGCTTCTTTTCTGTTGCTTTTTTCCTGATGATTTGTCTTTATTTTAGTTGTAATTTCAGTTTGGTCCTGGGAGATGGTCTGTGTAGCTTCCATTCACTCTGCTGTCATTTTTCTAAATATGATGATGAACATTCTATTGATGCTCAAATAACACCTCCCCTAAACACCCAACCTTTAGGAGATAAGATCTCCCCTAAATACACAGCCTTTAAAAGCCCCCAAGAGGAGGGTCCAGTTTATGGTCACCCACCCAGGAGCATGCCTGTGACTCCCCTACACCCATTCTCCCTCACAGGCATGCTTCTCCTATTCTAAGGGACCCCACGAGGCTTGCAACCAGGTCAGCAATGGGCAGTGGCAGTTCATCCTGGGCAAACCCCTGAACCTCCCCCAAGGCCCCTTTTCTCTGACTTAGTGAGCCAGAGCAGGCCAGCCTGGGATCATTATCCTAGCCTTTTCTTGTTTCACTGTCCCTAGCTTTAATAAATGTCCTCTAAAATTCACCTGGACTCGTGTTGTGAAACTTTTCCTGCATGAAGTTAAGAGCCCATACACTACTGGCTGGCCCCAGGCAGACCTGCTCAGGGCCAGTTCCCCTTTCTGGTGACAGAGGGACCAGCCTATTTTATGTCTCGACCCCTCCTGCCAGTCTTGACATAGCTTCAGTATATCCATAGCTACAGGACTTCTGTTCCAGGACTTCAGGTGGTTCTCAAGTGTGGTTGTTCTATAATTTAGTTGTAATTTTGATGTCACAGCAGGAGGTGAGCACAGTGTTTACCTACCTGCCATCTTGACCAGAGGCCTCTCCTCACCTACTTTGCCTGACAGGTTGGTCAGATTCTGAGGAGATGTGTTAAACAATAATGGACTATCTATGGTTATATATTCCCTAAAAATTAGTTATTTTTATTTTTATTTTTTTCTTATCCTCACCCGAGGACATTTTTCCATTTTTTGTTCAGATAGAGCGGGAGGGAGAGAGAGGAAGAGAGAGAGAGAGAGAAACATCAATGTGAAAGGGACACATCGAGTGGCTGCCACCCGCACGACCAACCAGGGCCGGGGACAAACTGCAACCGAGGTACATGCCCTTAGCGGGAAGCGAACCCGGGTCTCTCTGTACCACAGGCCGACGCTCCAACCGCTGAGCCAAACCACCCAGGGCAAAATTAGTTATTTTTAATTGAATCTTTTCTCCTCTATTCTCTCATGTAATCATCTTGAGTTTTAGTAGAATGTGTTTTTAATGTCTTGTCTTTAAAGCTAATACTAATTTTTATACCTTTCTTTTTTTCTTTTTCTTTTTTTATTAAATATTAGGTGAAAGAGAATGAGCACTTTTTTTTAATTTTAATTTTTTATCCTCACCCAAGGACATTTTTGGATATTTTGTTCAGATAGAGTGGGAGGGGGAGAGAGGGATGGAGGGATGGAGAGAGAGAGAGAGAGAGAGAGAGAGAGAGAGAGAGAGAAAGAGAGAGAGAGAGAGAGAGAAACATCGATGTGAAAGGGACACATCGAGTAGTTGCCACCCGCACAACCCATCCAGGGCCGGGGACAAACTGCAACTGAGGTACATGCCCCTAGCAGGAACCGAACCCGGGTCTCTCCAGACCGCAGGCCGACGCTCTAACCGCTGAGCCAAACCGGCCAGGGCTATTTTTTTCTTTTTCTTGTGACTCCTGTTATGGCTTTCGGGTTCACATTACTTCTTCCTGATGTACATTCTTTACTGGTTCTCTCAATGAAGGTCTAAGGGAAGTCAAAGCTGAGACTATCTGTATGTTGGAAAATGTCTTTATCTCTTTCTCTGACAGATAGCGCTAGGTGTTTAGTTTCTTAATAATTATTTTTCCTTCCTTACTATTTAATATTTTTAGCCACCATATCTTCGTGGGAATAAAGCCCCAAGGGTGGTATGTGCAACTGAGACAATGCATTCTGAGCTTGCCAATTATGTTACTTAGTAGATGTGAAGTTGTTAATAATGATAGTTATTATTACTATTCCTATTATAGTCTTCAGAAAGTACATTCTCAGAGCAGATGTTCACACCAAAAAATATGGAACGGTGGGCATTACTGGGACTTTAATTTTCAGCCCTTGAGTATCTTCAGCTGTGGTCGTTTGCAAACTGTGTTGAATCATATAATCAGTTTCTACAAACCACCAGCAGGACAGCACAGCCAGCCCATGCCTAAGAGGCTTTGAGCTGCATATTGGGGAGCTTCCGCTATCACTGTTTTGTTGGATTCTGTGCAGAGAAACATGAAAAAAGACTCATTCTCTCACATTTACCCCTGAGTTTTATTCATCTCCACATCCAAAGCAGACACACCATCTTTCTAGAGCCTGGGTGTTACTCTCAATTCAGTCTTCCCACATAGCCAGTCATTTCAGGCCCCAAGTTCCAGAGCTGAATGCAGAGTCCCGTTGAACCCATTCCTTCCATCCTGGCCTATCTTCCATCTTGGAGAACCGTGAGGAAAGAGGTGGCACCGAGGCAGGTCGACCTGGAAGTCCTGGCGTGAATCTGAACTTCAGAGAGTGAAGTAGTGCGAGGGGAGCTTGAGATGCCAGGGCTTTGGGGTGGGAACACCGGAGGAATGGAGGTAAGTGTGGCGCTAACCCAAGTCAGTTCAGGTGTGTTCCAAAGTTTCCTAAGAAGGGAAGCCACACCCTGGAGAGGATACGGTTTTGTACAGTGGCAATTTCTGCTCCAGTTTTGCCAATTCTGGTGTTCCTGAGGGATAAAGGGATGCAAAACTGCAAGGCAGAACTTGCAGTTGCCTTCAGGACTTAATGAAGGGGAAGAATTTCATCTCAGTTTCCTGTGGACCAGACAGGGCTATATTAAGAAGGACCAGAGACTGTGACGGACCAGTGTGGTTGATCCGTGTTCCAGCCAAGCTCCTCCTGGCCCTGGCTGGGAACAGGGGCCTCAGGCGGATCTAGTCATTGCAGCTTCCTGTGGTCTAGGTGTGGCAGGTACCAGGCATTGCTGCTGAATCTCAAAATCTTCCTTCTTCTTCCGCAGGCACATGGTGACCTGTGAAGGTAAGGAGAGGGCCTCAGCATGGACTGTCCAGCTGCCCAAGTGTGGGAGACTGTCAGAGAAGATGGACAGAGCCACGGAGACCAGGCGCGTCCCTCTCCTTTTTTAATTTAATGTTCTCCATCAGTCCTTTTTTTCCCCTCTTTCATCTTTTCTGTTTTTCTCTCCCCTTTTCACTCTCATTAGTTCTACCATTTTCCCCTCTAGTAACCATTTATATTCTTCCCTCCCTCCCTCTTTCCCTCCCTCCCTTCCTCTCCCCACACTGTAGCTTAATTGAGGTATAACTGACATATAATAAACTGTGTACATTAAAGTGAACAATTTGATATGTTTCGATGATAACTTATTGAACTGTCACTACAATCAAGATAAGGAACGCCCATCACCCCCAACGCGTCCTCATGCTTTTCTGTAATTCCTCATTGTCTGCCATTTGAGACACACCCTCATTCCCAGGCAAGCACTGAACTGATTTCTATCCCTAGATATTTGCTAGTATTTTGTGAAGTTTGTATATGAATGGGATCATACAGTATCATCTTTACCTAGCTTCTTTGACCCAGCATAGCTATGCTGGGATTTATGCCTGTCATTGCTGAAGAAGATCCCATTGTGGGGCTGGTCCATGGTTTATGTATCCTTCACCTGTTGGTGGGCATCTTGGCTGGTTTTCATTTTGGGCTAGTCCATGAAAACCTCTTACGGACATTTGTGTACATGTCTCTTTGTATAGATGTAAGCTTTTATTTTCCTTGGATAAATTCCTAGGAGTGCAGTGGCTGGGTAGGTATATGTAACTTTTTTTAAAAAGCTACTTTTCACTAGCACTGTATAAGACTTCCAGTTGCTCCACATACTCACCAAAACTTGTGATAGTCATTTTCATGTGTAGTGGTAACTCTACCACTATGATAGATTCATGATGTTTAGTTATATTCCCCTAATGACTACTGCTGTTAAAAAAAGAAACAGGCAAACCTTGGAAAAGCATTTGCAAAACATGTGCCCATCAGAGGACTTGTGTTTCTAATACAGTCATATACCACATAACAACAAGGGTATGTTCTGAGAAAGGTGTTGCTAAGTGATTGCCTGTATAGCTTGTTGCTGTACAAAACAACACACAATTAACCCAAGCAAGAAAAATGATGCAATGAAGAGATACAGTACACACAAGATATAGGAGGCTACTGCCAGTATAACACGCACACTGTTGTACAGCAAACCTTTCTATAAGTAGAAAGAGTACACTCTAAAATAATGACAAAAAGTATGGTATAGTAAATACCTAACCAGTAACACAATCCTTTATTATCAGTATCAAGTATTATATACTATACACAATTTATACTTTTATGCAAGTGGAAATGCAGTAGGTTTGTTTGCACCAGCATTACCTCAAACACTTGAGTGATGTGTTTTGCGAGGACCTTACTATGGCTATGATGCCACTAGGTGGTAGGAATTTTTCAGCTCTATCATAATCTTATGGGACCAACATCATATATGTGTCCCATCGTTGACCAAAATGTTGCTATGTGATACATGACTGTGTATAAAAAACTCTTACAACCCAATAGCAAGAAGACAAGCATCACTTCCTCGCTTACCAAGAAACAGCAGATCAGGCATGTGATGAGCACCAAGAGTCCCGCCAAGCAGATGAGGATGATGGTCCAGAAGGGGAGGTCTGGGGAGACAAGTGCTAAGCTGAGTCACCTTCTCTCATCTCCCACAGGGATCTTGCTTTCTCCCCACTGTGCCTCAATGGTTCTTGACATGGGTTGGCCAACTGTTGTTCTCATCTAAGTTCTTGTGTGCCTGGTTCTCTTGGATGAGGCACAAAATCAAGACATTCCCTTCCCACCCTGAGGCTGCTGGGAGGCTTACCAGAATCCTCAGTCAGGGCATTATGTCTGTTTGGAGAATACCCTGAAAGTGAATAAAAAGGAGAATGAATGAGAGTGTATTTTACTCTGTTTAATAAAACTCTTCAAACACAGAGAAAAATAGAAACATATCATAAACATCCATCACCGAGTTTTAGCAATGTATATTTCATCCAGTTAAAAACATTTCATCTGATGCATACATTATTAACACTTGCCACTCTTGCCTCATTCCATATTTTCATTGAAATATTAAAGCAGACATCATGATGTTTCACTTCGTTTCACTTTGCATCTCTGAAAAATGAGATGTAATGGCCGACATAACGGAAAGCCGTTATCACACTACAGGAGTGTATTAATTCATACCTCTGAGCACAGAGGACTGAAAGTGGGCTGGACCATCTTATGATCATCAGGAGAAATGGTTCATCCAGGTTGGCAAGCACAAGGTATCTCTCTACATATGTAAATTCCCACTCACAATCTCTCTTCTCACCCCCTTCTCCTTTACCACATTGTTTTATACTCATTTTCCAGGATGCACTTACAAGATAATTTCCCCCAGGAATCCTTCTCTGATTGTCACTCCCAAGTATGGATTGGTTTTCATCAAATAATTTACTATTGACAATTGCCTATTCTTGTTATTTTCAACTACAACATAAACTTCATGAGGGTAGGGACACATTGCACCCACTGGGCATGGGGAGAGGGTCGCAGGTCCCCTACTTCTACAACTTCTCCCTAGCCCTCTTCTTAAGATGTGCTATCCAATACAGAGCTGCCACAAGGGGCTTCTTAAATTACAATTAATTTTAATTAAATAAAATTTAAAAATCTAGTACCTCATTACATTACAAACCAATAAAAATAAAAATAACAGTCATATGCCCTGGCTGGTGTGGCTCAGTGGTTGAAATGTTGGCCTGTGCACTAAAGGATTATGGGTTTGATTCCTGGTCAGGGGCACATGCCTCAGCTGCAGGTTTGATCCAGGCCCCATTGGGGTGCGTATAGGAGGCGACCAATCAATATGTCTCTCTCATATTAATGTTTCTCTCTCTCTCTCTCTCTCTCTCTCTCTCTCTCTCTCTCTCTGTGTGTGTGTCTTTTCCTACCACTCTCTCTAAAAATCAATGGAAAAAAAATATCATTGGGTGAGAATAAAAAAAAAAATCAGTCCCATTAGCCATATGTCAGATATTCAATAACTCAATATGGCTAATGGACTAGACAGCAGACAGAGAGCATTTCCATTATTGCAAAAGTTCTATTGGGCAAACTACAGCCTATGGGTCAACTCAGGCCCACTGCCTGTTTTTATACAGCCTGTGAACCAGAAAACAGGTCTATCTCATCACAACTGTCAAGGTTGGCTCACAAATAGTTTGCTGCTGAAAGCCCTCACTGACCATCTGGTAAACTGGGTTTCAATATACAGATAAGGACACAGAAGTCCACAGTGGAAAAAGGACAAAGACTGAGGGCACAGAGCAGTCTAGGTGAAGGCAAAGGCCTCCTGTGTCCCATTGGGTAGCCTTTCCTCTCCCTCAATAGTGGGTAAAGCCAGGGGGACTGTGCTACCTCCTGCCAGCCTGAGAAAGTTCAATGCTGACTCATCCCCAAGCCTCCAGATTTCCAGGAAAGTCTACGGGTGTAGAAGTTAGACCCCCTACTTCTGCCCCAATGACCAGGAGCCTTACCATCCACTAGGACACTGTCCCTGTCCAGGGTAAAGTTCTGCAGTTGGGTGCCATTCTGGGTCAGCTGCAGGAATTCCTCGTAGATGGCAGCTCTGTCCATTTGCTGTGCCAATGGTGAGAAATGACACAGGGAGTCCACTCCAGTGTGGTTGCTGTGGGTGACAGACCTGGAAGCAACAAGGGATGCAGAGGTATCTGAAATTCTGTCCTGAGTCTAGTTTCCCTGTTCTAGGTCCTGCCCAAGAGAACTTTCTGCAATGATGTAAACATTTGGATTTGCACTGTCTAATATAATAATTGTTGACCACAAGTTGTTACCAATCACTTAAAATGTGGCTAGTATGTGTGAGTGAAGAACTGGGTTTCTCATGTAATATAATGTAATTAAATTAAATTTTTTTTCTTTATTGATTTTAGAGAGAGGAAGGAAGAGGGAGAGAGAGATAGAAACATCGATGAGAGAGAACATCAACTGGTCACTTCCTGCATGCTCCCCACTGGGGATTTGGCCCCCAACCTGGGCATGTGGCATGACTGGGAATCAAACCAGTGACCTCTTGGTGCATGCGTCCATGCTCAACCACTGAGCCATACTGGCCGGGCTGTAATTAATTTTTAAATAAATAGCCACAAGGAGAACATTTTTGAAATGTTGAAGTAAGGACTTCTGAAAATCCATAAAAGCAATGAGAATACAGTAAAAATGGTTGAAATCAACTTTTCAAATGTGCACAAATGAACCAAAGGCTTGCAGCAAACTGAGTAGTGTTTAGTTAAGAAGAATGCCTGAGTCATGATAGAGGGAGTTAGTACCGTGGCATTATAGCCTGCACTATCCCCAGTCTGCTCTCACACTGTCTCAGGGACTTCTCAGAACCATGGTAACTGAAAAACAGCAGCCAAGTAGACATAGTGGGTTTGGAGCTCCCTCAAAGATGAATCCCAACTTGTTTTTATTTGACCTGTCTGGTAACCCCTTGAAATATCCCCATTTTCAGGACTTGCCTTTATTTGACTCAGAGCTTACTCAACAAGGAAAGCCTATCCCCAGGGAACTTCCTAAAATTAATCAGTGGTCACTGTTTTGCATTGTAGCTGCATGAGGGAGCAATATTAGTTGAGGCAGGCAAGAGGTGAGCCAAAAACATAAGAGAATAATTGGAGGAATGAGATGTCCATAGTGGGCTTTGAAACTCTCCAATGTATTTGAGGGTTCTAGAAGGCCACAGGAGTGCAGGTCTGGGTGCATGCCCAGGAGAGACTTGAAAAGGTCTTTATCGCTTATTTCTACCTGAAAAAGTTGGCTTAATATGTTAAAAAATTGGTTGATGTAATCCACCATAGCAATAGAATAAAGTACAAATACCATATTATCTCAATACACACACACACACACACACACACACACACACACGAATTTTACAAAACAGGTCTTTTATGATAAAAAAAAATACTCAACAACTGGAGATTTTAAAAAGAAACCTTCTCAACCTGATAAACAGCATCCAAGAAAAACCCACAGTTAATATTATAGTCAGTAGTGAAAGACAAACATTTTTCCCGAAGACCAGGGACAAGACAGTGATGTCTGCACTCATCTCATACATTAATCACATTGTACTAGTTCTAATGAGAGCAATAGGCAACAAAAAGAAATGAAAGGTATCTGGATCGGAAAATAAGATGTAAAACTATTTACGTCTATAGACGATGTGATACTGTATATGGAAAACTCTGAGAAATACACACACACAGAATGTGAATAACATCTCAATAGGTGTATAAAAAATTTAACTGCCACAAGGTTTGTGGCTATACTCCTGGACAACAGGATTAGATTGCTGGGTTTTAATTCATCTCATGAAAGCCCCCATCTTATATGGATTGCGGAATCAGGAGCTGATTTCTTAAGACATGTATTCTACAATCCATATCCCATGAGCCCCAGAAACAGACACTTCCATTTCTGCTGAGGTTTTTTTTTTTTTTTAAATCCTCAGCCAAGGGTATTTTTCTTTCTTTCTTTCTTTCTTTTTTTTTTTTTTGGTGTGCTTTTATTTATTTATTTATTTTTATTTCACAGTGTTTTAATTAATTAATTTATTTTTGTTACAGATGTTTCTCCTTTTTGCCCCACTGATTCCCCCATCCCCCTCCCTCCCCGCCCTGTCCCCAGCTTTGTTGTCCATGTCCACTGTTCACGCATACATGCATATAAGTTCTGTGGTTTATCTCTTCCCCACCACCCCATTCTGGGGATTGTCAGTCTGTACTCCACTTTCATGTCTCTGGGACTACCCCATCCCTCAGACTGTTATGTTCATTATATTCCACAAATAAGTGAGATCATATGATACTTGTCTTTCTCTGTTTGGCTTGTTTTGCGTAGGATAATACTTTCCAGGTCCCTCCATGTCGTCTCAAAGGATAAGAGATCTTTCTTTCTTACAGCTGCATAGTACTCCATTGTGTATATGTACCACAGCTTTTTTATCCATTTGTCTACTGATGGACATTTGGGTTGTTTCCAGATCTTAGCTATTATAAATAGTGCTGCTACGAACATGGGGGTACATATATTCTTTCTGATTGGTGTTTCAGGCTTCTTAGGGTATATTCCTAGAAGTGGGATCACTGGGTCAAATGGAAGTTGAATTTTTAATTTTTTGAGGTAACACCATATTGTTTTCCATAGTGGCTGCACCAGTCTGCATTCCCACCAGCAGTGTACTAGAGTCTCAAGGGTATTTTTCTATTTATCTTCAGATAGAGTGGGAGGGAAAGAGAGGGAGACAGAGAGAAACATCGTCATGAGAGGAACACATTGACTGGCTGCTTCCCACATAATCCCAACCAGGGGTGGGGATGAACCTCAACTGAGGTACATGCCCTTGACCAGAATCAAACCTGCCACGCATTGGTCAGTGGGCTGATGCTCTAACCACTGAGTAAACCAGCCAGGTTTGCTGAGGTATTTTTAAAATAACAGGTCTATATTTCTAGGGCTCTCTTCTATAACAGCTAGAAACTGAGAGATTGTAGCATAGGGACAGATACTCTTACTAAATAAGACAAATGTCCTTTATATAAAAGAGAAGTTAACAGAGTCATCAGGTCCTGATTTGGAACTCACCTGAAGGCCAAAACTTGACAGTCTGAAAAATAACTCTTGATGCTGCTGTTTTGAAAGAGCTGGTTGAGCTGAAAGACAGGGTAATATTTCTTTCATCAGAATCCTGGGCTGGGTGGCCTCAGAGAATGTTCAACCACTGAGAAAACTTCTCCATTTTTTTTTTCTTGGCTCAACAAAGACTAGTAAAGATATGTATATAAAAAAAAAAGAAGTCTTGTTCTAGGGTATGACTTAGCTACATGACCTTGGAACATCTAGTGAACCTCTCTGTGCCTATTTCTTCATTTGTAAGATGGGAATAAGAACGTGTCTTTATAAATTGTTATGAAAGTCACCATCTGACTTCCTAGCATCCACAGGTCAGCCCCTACATGGGGACAAAGTGGACACAAGTCAATTCTCACCGCATGCTCCATACTTCTCTTGTTCCGCTGGTGTGCGGTGGTGCCTGGCTGGGCTATATCCTGGACGTAGCATAGATTGGTGACAGTGAAATTCAGCTGGAAGTGCTGAGGGCTGGGACTGCTTGTTGGTTTGTCTGTTGGCAGATGAACTGATGCCTCTACTTCTAGAATAAAAAGAAAGTATAAAATTTCCATACCCGGGGAAGGTTTTAGCAAGCCAGTCTACTAATTTCTGATAATACATTCTGAACTAGGTTTTTTTTTTTTTTTTATCCTCACCCGAGGACATTTTTCCATTTTTCCATTTTTTGTTCAGATAGACTTGGGGGGGGGGGAGATAGAGATAGAGATAGAGATAGAGATAGAGATAGAGATAGAGAGATAGGGAGAGAGAGAGAGAGAGAGAGAGAGAGAGAGAGAGAGATAGAGAGATAGAGAGATAGAGAGATAGAGAGATAGATAGATAGATAGATAGATAGATAGATAGATAGAGAGAAACATCGATGTGAAAGGGACAAATCGAGCGGCTGCCACCTGCACAACCAACCAGGGCAGGGGACAAACTGCAACCGAGGTACACACCCTTATCGAGAACCAAACCTGGGTCTCTCTGTACCACAGGCTGACGCTCTAACTGCTGAGCCAAACTGGCCAGGGCTGAACTAGGTTTTTTAAGGTGAGTTCCAGAAGACCCTCCATGTACCTGTCGACCTTGAATGTATTCATCTATCTACCTGTTCAACCCCCTTTCCATCAAGGATTGTGAGTTTACTAGGATGTCTGGGAGAGGAGACTGGGCCTCTCTGAAGCATAGCTGGCAAGCACAAGTGACCGCCCCAGTAGGCATCTGTCACACACCTCTGCTGACCTAGGTTCCTAATGTGTCTTGTTTCCTCTGGTCTTCTTCCCCCTCCCAATCCATTCTCCACACAGCACCCAGAGGATGAGCTTTTGAAAGCAAAACTCAGAGTGTGCTGTGCTCCTCCACAAACCATTCCAGTGCCCAAAGACATCCCTGACCACCTCTTTAGCCTCCACTGTCACCTCTCCCATGTCAAAGTGCATTCATAAGCCACAACATACTTCTTACAGCTATCTGTCTCTTCCCATAGGCTAGGTCATATTCTCCATCACATCTTAGTTTTATCATTTCCTTAGGAAAACATTCTAAGACAGGAAGGAATGTGTGTCCCTCCTTGAGGTTCCCACAGGCTCTTGAAAGCCCCTTATAGACATTTTCACAGTGTATCATCAAAACCTATTTACTTGGATTAAATATTAGTTGAATTAATAAAAGAATGAATGACTCACAATTAGAGGGCCTAAGAAGGCAACTCAGGATCCTCCATATTTGGGGCTGGAAAAATTTATGTGTAAAAATAAACATTCCCTTGAGGGTAATTGCTGCACGTTCTCTTCCTACCTCCTGTTGGGTGACCAACTGCCATGAACATGGGTCATCAACACAGGCTTCCAAAAAGTACCACTTTTCCCTCCAGAGCCTATGTCCATTCCATTGCTATTGAGAAGACTCATCCTTCCTCAAAGACCCATCTCCACAAGCCATGAAACCGGTCCCCCATCTTGTACCTGTCACTTGAATATCTGCCAAATGGTAGGTGGCACCCAGCCAGTGGGATGAACCATTGAGGGTCTTGTCTAGAAAGACTTGCTTCACCATGCTGGGGTCTACACTGGAGGAGAACAGTTCCTGGACGGTGACTGACATGGAGCCCAACCTAGAGTCAGAGATCACAGGAACTCAGCTGGCATCCAACACCAGCAGTGTCCCCTGAGCTCCTGCTTAAGGATTCAAAGACCTAGGGGCAAGCTGAGGGAGAGCATCTGGCTGCCTTTTCCCACAGGATGGAGAAGAGCCCCTGACCAAGAAGGGAAGGTTTTTAGGACTTGAGAATAGAAGTAATAACAGTAATAAGCATGAACATCTACTAGGCACCCCTAAGAAGTGATTTACACACTCCCTCACCATCACTGTGGTGGAAGGAATTATTATAACTATTCTCATGTTAAATGCAAAGAAACTGAAGTCTGGAAATATTCAAAGCTCAATATTCAACCTCAATATTCAAAACAATGTGCCAAATGATCCTCTTCTTTAGTGCAGATTTCCTAGTTCCTTGTCCCATACCTCAGAGACCTGGTTGCAAACCCATCTCAGACAGTTCCTGGGCTGTTTACTTTGCTGAGCCTCAGTTTTCCCTTCTGAACAATGGGGACAATCACTGTATCCACCTCAAGGGGCTGTGATGAGAATTAAATGAGATGATCATGCATAAAATTGCTCAGCAGGGAGCCTGGCCATGACAAATCTTATTGGGCTGATTTTGGTTGAAAGTGTCCAGAAGAGGAGAAGGTGGTAGGTTCTAAGGGTTAGTGGCTCCATGACGTTAATCCTTCTCCCACCACCTGAAGATATATGGAAGAAGATGGTATGATCGGTGACAGAGATGGAGGGAGAATGGGCCCCATGTCAGTAACTTCCAGTTCAAAGATGTGCCACAGGAGCTCAGAGCCACAAGCTACCAGCTCAGCCAACGCTTCCAATCTCAACTTACTTCAAGTCAGTAACCAAGCAGGAGTAGAATATATCTTGTAGCTGGCTGCCTCTGTAGAGTTTGGTGACCTAGAATAAAGGGAAGGGAGAGCGGGTGAGATGAGGTCTCTAGGGCTGGAGTCAGCCACTGGAGCCAGTGAAAGAACATAGGCCTTGGGGCAAAGAAGACCTGAGTTCAAATCCTGAGTCTGCCTCCAACTCACTGAGTGACCCCTTTCTGAGCCTCGCTTTGCCCATCTGGGAAATGGGGAAGGCAGCCACAGCTCTACCTCTGGAAACTGAGAGAACTCAGAAAACTTGGATAAAGTAAAGTGCTGAAACACTCACTTAGTTAGAGGAGTGAGGGGGGTACCCAGGGCAAGGAGAGATGAGATGGATGAGAGAGACCATACCTTGTCCTGGATGTCCCTCAGCAGGGTGATGTACTCAGAGGACATGGGGTCTGGATTGCTGAGGTTCCAGTTGATGATGCAGAAATTTAGTTGATACTTACTCTGAATAGATAAATTCTGGGGGGCATAGCCTATGGCCATGAAAAAGGAGGAAAAACATGTGAAGATGCTCAGCTTTTAGCCCAAAAGCATGGTATCACAGAGAGCTTCTGATTTCTCTCAGAATTAGCCAAAATCAGGTCTACAACCTGGGGACTGTGGGGTTTCCAAATGGCAAGTCACCCAAAGAGGAGAAAAACAAGTTTTACAGGGATTCTCCTGAGCTGAGCTTCTCTGCTTGTGCTTATGCAGTTACCACTTGTTGGAATGATTTTCTGCCCTCCTCTCTTCCTGGAAAACTCTTATTCATGCTTCAGAAGCCCAAAGACATGGAGCTCCAGGAAAGCAGGGACCCAGCCATCTATCTTGTTCTTGTCATGACCCAGTGCCTAGCACAAGTCTGGACACATAATATTTTTCAGGAAGTCCTTCTTGACTTGCCCCCTACCCTCATCTCTGATCTCATAGAAAACAGTTATATGGTATTGCTGCAGTTTTTGTGTCCCTAAGAAGTATCCTTGACTATGAGTTTTTCAGGGACAGAAGCTGTGTTTTTTATCTCCATACCCACCCAGCACATGGTTTGGGACAGAACTGTCACACATATGTGTCTGTTAAATGAACGAATGGGAATTGCAGTAGATACCCAGAAATGAGGGGCTGAGATTCTCATCTTTCATTTGTTCACTCATTCATTCATTAATTAATTCACTCACTCACTCACTCACTCACTCACTCACTCACTCACTCACTCCTTGAGTACTACAATGTACCAACATATTAAGAAAGGAGGATGCAGCGCTACAGTAGACACAACCTGATTTTGTAGAGTTGGACAATTAAACAAGTAATTGCAGTAAAGTATGATGTTGGTGTAGTGCCTATCTAGGGACTATGGGCCATGTACAGCAGGTTTCTCATCTTCTGAACTACTACCATTTAGGGCTATGAAATTCCAGGCGATGGGGTTCTCCTGAGTTTTGAAGGATGTTAGCAACATCTCAACCTCTGTTCACTAGATGCCTGTAGCACACTCTCTCAGTTGTGACAATTAAAAATGTCTACAGACATTGCCCAGTGTGTGTGTGTGTGTGTGTGTGTGTAGGGGGGGGGGGTGCAGAATTGTCCCTGGGTGAGAATGACTGGCATAGAGGAACCTCGCTTAGAAGAAACCCTGCCCAATAAATATCATGTGTCTGTAATTTTGACTTTGAATTAAAATTTATTACATTAATTTGGTTAAAGAATTTTATTTTATTTACCTGAAATAACAGGAAATACCCTCCCTATGGAGTCTGGGGAGGGTGTCTCCCAGTCAGAGCTTAGACTGATTTCTTAAAGAGGAAATAAAATGGAACCAAGACATGTGATGATCAATGTAAATCTAAGTTTAGCATAAACACTCACCATTGACAAAGAGGCTGCCCTTGACCAGGGTGTAGGTGCCCATCTGGGTAACATTGTGGGTCAGCTGGCTCAGCTCCAAGTAAAGTTGATCTCTGTCTAGCCCATGGTCCAAGGGATCAGAGAGGTAGGTACAGATGGCATCCACACTGGTGGATGCCCCATCATTCTCAGGCCTGGAGAGAGAGGTTATGGGAACTTTAGAGAGAGAGAGAGCCTGAAACCTCTAAGTGTGGGGACCAGAAAGATGGAGAAGCACCTGAGAGGTCAGTGAGAAGATTGAAAAGGGAATGGTCACCAAACGTGGTCATTACTGGCAAATGCTTGGGAAAGAATCTTACCTGAGGGAGATCAGTCTGCAACCCAAGTAGTAGGGGCCCAGACTGCTCTTCATGAACAAGGATCTGAGCTGGAGAGGAAGGAGGAAGAGGATGAGCAGGGGGTTGAGTGAGGGGCTGGGTAGGATTTACTCCACCAGGAGTTCCTGGGACCAGGGTCTCACCAGGTGCTGCAGAACCTTCTTGGTGGAGTTGAATGTGGCTGAGCCACTGTTCATGTCTGTTGAATACTGGAGGTTGGAGATAGTAAAGTTGAGTGTGAGGGTTTCCAGATTGCGTGATAGAGCTGTAAGAAGAGAAGGGGATATATGGCAGTCATCGAGAGCTGGCCTGAGCCCAGATCAGAGTCTTGCAATCATAATAATCTGTTGTCTTCTCTTCCAGCACCACCACCACCACCCACCAATGTGGTCAAGTTAAAACCATAATCTCCACTCAGTAATATGATATAAACCCACCTGACCCCCAAGTAATACCAATTCCACATGTGGAATGACTCTCATATACATCACTTCTCTCCATCCTCTCCTAGCCCAGTTCTTACCTTCTCTCACCTGGACCACTACCCCCAGCAGGCTCACTGGACACCCTGTCTAAAAGATGCTCCCTACACTGAATACTGGAAGAAATTTTCTTACCTAAAAGTCTCACTATGGTCACCATGCTCTATACCACCCATGCCTCTGTATGGCCTTCAGCATTAGCTTCAAGTTTATTGACCTGGCACTCAAGTCCCCTCCCAAACTGGTTCTTGCCAATCTTTCCATTTCATCTATCCATCTACTCCATATTAAGCTTTGTACTTCAGGCAAACCAAATCCCTCTCAATTCTCTACACTATGCTGTTAGTGCCTATTGACCTTTGCTCATGGAATCCGCCTGCCAGGGAATCCCCTCTCCATGCCCTATTTGCCTAGAGCATTCTTACTCATTCTTTTTCTTTTTAAAAAATATGTTTTTATTTATTTTTTTAGAGAGATAGAAGCATCCTCATGAGAAACATTGATTTGCTGTCTTCCTCACGCCCCCTATTGGGGATCAAGCCCATAACCTGGGTATGTGTCCTGACCAGGAATCAAACCAGGACCTCTTAGTCCACGGGAGGAAGCTCATTACACTGAGCCACACCAGCCAGACCCTACTCATTCTTAAAGGCTCTGTGGGGGTGAAACTCACCAGAAAGCTCTTCCCATTTAAATGTCACCAGATGTCCCTTCCTGAAACATCCCACATTGTGTTATAATGGTCTGATAATCTCATTAGCCTGGAGGCTCCAACAGGGCAGGCATTAAATTGAATTGGTGTAACTGATTTCCCTAAAACCAAATTTCATACTCTAGCTTCCCAGTTCCTGTGTGACAATTGTCTGGTGTTGAACTTTTCTTAGAAAGGAAAGGAGGTTTCTCAAATACCTGTGGTTGCTTCTGGTTGCACAGGTGATGATAAAGTGGGCAGGAAGGTGATGTCTGGCTCAGGAGCTGTAAAAACAGCAGTCATCAGGGAGAGACAGCACTGCCCCTGCAACTCCCAAAGTGGGAAAAGCCCATCAGGCTCTCCTGGGCTCCAGCAGAGGCTGTCCCAGAAAAACCATTCACAGCTGTATCATAAATGAGAGTGACAGAAGGTATGATTGTGTGAGTACAGGGGTGAGCAAACCTGTAAATGAAATTAATTCAAGAGAGTGAGAGTGGGTGAATGATAAAGAGACTGAACAAAGAGGACAGATAGATGGGTGGGTAAAAAATGGACGGACAAATGGGATACCTGGATGGACAGAGGAGGAATGAAAAAAATGAAGGTCAAAGACAAAGCATGAAGAATAAAGAGAAGGAAGAGAAGTTGTAGAGATAGAAGGAAAAAAGGAGGGAGAACAGAAATAGGGAAGGACAAACAGGTGAATGGTCAGAAGGATAGGTGGACAGATGGTCAAAGAGGAGAGAAGAAAAAGCACAAAGAAGAAAAGTTGAGAAATGTATAGAAAAATAGAAAGAAAACAAACAGGTGAATAAGTAGAAGGATGGTTGTCTGGATGAATGAATGGAAGGAAGGAAGAAAGGAGGAAGAAAGGAGGAAGGGAGGAAGGGAGGAAGGGAGGAAGGGAGGAAGGGAGGAAGGAAGGAAGGAAGGAAGGAAGGAAGGAAGGAAGGAAGGAAGGAAGGAAGAAAGGAAGAAAGGAAGGAAGGAGAGAGAGAAGGAGGGAAGGAGGAAGGAAAGAGGGATGGATTGAGAAAGGAAGAGAGAGAGAAGGAAGGATGGATGGGGAGGGAGGAAGGAACAGAAGGAGAAAAGAATGCATCTGAGAGAAGGAGTAACTGGGATAATGGAAGAACAGATGGGTGACAAGATATACAAATGGACACTGGATGAGTGTATGGGCAAGCTTGGCCTAACCCCTGAGCAGCCCCTGAAGTCTGCAGCTTGATGCTGAGGCCCCTGTAAGAGATTTTGTTGTCAGGAAGCATGAACCCAAAGTCACTATCTGACTTCAACCTCTATCTCTGTAGGGAGTTCTTTTTCAAATTTCTTACTGAAACCTGAAGGGATATGGAGATTTAGAAAGCTAATACCATGGAGGCAGGTCCAAAAAGAGGCCAAGGACTCAGCATTCTTCCTCCCATTGACACCTTGGCCCCATTCAGAAGAATGACCTGAGTTTGGGGCAAGCTCTCTTTGTCAGAGAGGAGAAAAGTTTGGCTCAAGACCCATGGAGGCTGAAATGGGCACTAGAGGCAAAGGCACATACTTGTAGGAGGCTCGTCCGGACCATGTTCATTATAACCTGGAAACAAACAAGTCACATGTAAGGGGAGGTGAAAGAACAATCCCAGGTATTCCATGCATTTGGCCATGCGGGGCTCCTACCTGGATTCCTTTCCCTGTGTGTACCAGGTGAGCATCTATGCATCTTCTAAGATGAGACTCAAGTGTCATGTCTACTATAAAGGTTTTCCTGATCTTTCCATTAAAAATATCCCTTTCCTATCTACCTATCCAGCATGCTCCCAACAAGAGACTCACACATTTATTCTCCCACATGTCCATACTCTCCAGTCTTCCCTTCCACCCTCCCTCCCATCTATCCCTCCATCCACTGAATGCTGCATTTATTGAGGCTTACTGTGTCCCAAGTTCCATTACATTTGCAGAATACACCCTGAACAAAACAGTCTGCCCCACTGGAGCTTACATGAGGACAGGCTGTGCATGTGGCCCGCCTGTCTCTGTCCATGGTGCCAGGCACAGTCCTGGCTCACAGTAGATGCTTGGTAAATGCTGAGTGAGTGAACAAAATGAAGCCTATATGTTGCATTGTTTCCAAGCGGGGAAATCCTAAGGGGGCCCCTGCAATGGCCAAGGCAAAGGCAACAGATGTGAACTCAGAACACCAAGCCCCAGATGGGCCACAAACCTACTGTGGGTATGTGCAGGTCTCTTCCACTGTACTTCTGCTTCCCTGCTTGCTAAAGTGGGAGTCATCAAGGACCAGAATGTCTCCCCGGCCATCTGATGGGGCCATGGCAATAAGAAAGTGTGAGTTGCCAAGTACCATTTCCAGATTGTAGACGGAGGAGGGAAGCTGAGTTATTCCAATCAACCTACCACGGCCATGCTTTGTCTCTCAGAACCCCATATGAGGGTCACCCTCTTAAACGCTGTTGCCTCCTGGATTCTAGGCTGATGGCCAGTGTGTCTGAAGCTTGGACCCCCTGTAAGGGTGGTGAACCTTTTTTCTGCCAAGGGCCATTTGGATATTTATAACATCATTTGAAGGCCATACAAAATTATCAACTTAAAAATTAGCCTGCTATATTTGGTCAGGCTAATTTGGTGAGGTGTGTGATGTTAGCTGGTACTGATTTTGTAGGCTTCATACAGCCTGCGGGCTGGACGTTCCCCACCCCAGCTAGATGTTCAGAGTGCCTGCCTTCCTTCCTGGCACAGGGCCCCGACCCAGGACAGAAGTCTATCCTTGGTCTATGGTGAGAGAAGAGCAGGGAGAGGAGAGAGATGTGGAATATCCTTTCCCCAAATATCTCCTAGAAAAAATGGCATTAGATGTTGACAATGGGGGATCATGACCTGGCTTCAAAACTCTCAAACTACCACCCACTTGGGAAAATTACTTAACCTTTCTAAGCGTCAGTTTATTCATTTGTAAAATAGGTTTAATCAAAGATCAGCCTTACAGGGCGGCTGGTGAGGGGAGGGAGAAGAATCAGTGTGGAGTAGAGATTCACACCCGAGTTTATCTCAACTTTTCCCCTAGAGAACTGGTAAATGGGAACCCTCTGGAGTCAGGGGTGGTCCCAGTGAAGTGGGCGGAGAACTGCTGACCATTGAGGTAGAGGCTGTCCTTATCCAGAGAATAGGGGCCCAGCTGAGTGATGCCATGGGTCTGCCGGCTCAGCTCATAGAACACCTGCTTGGCAGGCAGCCCTGGACCGCTGGGGAGCTGGCGGTAGGTGCAGACAAAGTCCACCCTTGTCTTGGCGCCATTCTTCAGAGACCTGGGAAAGAAGAGGTTGACCTTTGGGGGATGCAGTTCACTTGGCACCTCTTCACCTGTGGTGACTGCACACCTCAGATCCTGTGTTTCAGCCTTGTTAAGCCTTTTACAATTTCTCTACATGGCCACACTCTCTCGCCTCAGGATCTTTGCACTTGCAGAGAATTCTGTCTAGAAGTCTCTTCTCTTCTCTGCTTACCTGGACAATTGCCTGGTCATCTTTCAGATCTCAACTTAGGCACCTCTTCTTCCTCCAAAACCCTCCCAGGAGGGTCAGGGACCTCTTCTGTTTCCCACCATACCCTGTGATCCCCCCATCACAACCCTGGTCACCCACTATGTGAGCATATATTATTTGTCCCTGTTCCCTCCAGATGGTGACCTCCTAGTGGGACAGTCTAGTTCATTGCTATTGTGCTGAACTTCCAGCACTTATCACATTGTTTGTTCCATGTAAAAACCAAAGTCCTAATGAATTAATAAGTAAAATGTGATAAATACATGCAATGGAAATTATTCAGACTTAAAAAGAAAGAAAATTCTGCCATGCTACAACATGGATAAATCTTAAAGACCTATGGTAATTGAAATAAGCATCACAAAAAGACAAATACTGCATACTTCTATTCATATGAGATACCCCAAGTAGTCAGATTCATAGAGACAGAATGTAGAATGGTGGGTGCCAAGATTGGGGATAGAGAGAAATGGGAAGTTATTGTTTTGTGGATGCAAAATTTAAGTTTTGCAAGTTCTGAAGATTGGTTTCACAGCAATGTGAATATACTTACTACTACCAAACTGTATACTTAAAAATAGTTCAGATGGTAAGTTTATGTTATGTGTACTTTACCACAATTAAAAAACATCAACTTCTTTCAAGACTCTCCATGGTGTAGACCTTGATGATATTTCAAATTTCATCTCTTTCTCTTATTCTCTATCTGCTCCAGCCATATCAGCCTCCTTGCTGTTCATAGAACTTGCCAAGTTCATTCTTACAGCAGGACCTTTGCACATGCTGTCCTCTCTGCTTGAAACAATTTTCAGGGCCAAATTCTTCTTGCCAGTTGGGACACAACTCAGAGGTCACCACCACAGAGAGGCTACCCTTTTCCCCTGGGTAAAGCTCCTTTCCTATCACTCTCTACTTATTTATGCTTCACATCACATTATCACATTTGAAAGCACTTCATTTCAATACTTATTCTCCTGATTCCTGTCTGTTTTGTCCACTAAATGAGGGTAGAGTCAGTGCTTGTCTTGTCAGTGTGATATCTACCACCTGCCTCAGAGGTGCTGTACCATCATGTTAGTTGAATAAAAATGTGAATCGAGAAGTACTTCATAAATGCCAACAGAACAAAAACTGACCCAGAGACATGAGAGTAATTGCCCAATCAGTACAGAGTTTTGCTTGGCATGATGAAAAGTTTTGAAACTAGATAGTGATGATGGGTGTACAACATTGTGCATGTAATTGATGTCACTGAAGTGTACACTTAAAATAGTTTAAATTTTGTATCTATATGTATTTTATCATAATATAAAAAATTAATAATGTAATATTTTTAAAATGGATGCAGAAAAGGACCCTCCACAAATAGCCTGCCGCAACCAAGGACAATCCCTACAAGCAGAAGTCCATGTCCTTTGGTGGTGGCCTATAGAGGGGAGTGTTCTCACCTTAATGAGGTGACCTTGCAACCTTTATATCGGGGACCAAGGCTGCTCCTCCAGAACAACTTGCTGAGCTGGAGAGGAAGGAGAAAGCCGTTGTTGGTCAGAGGCAGGCAACAGTTCCTGTGATGGGTCATGGAGAGGGGTGAGGAGTAAGTAGGGCTCTCACCAGATGCTGCATGAGGGTGTTTGTGATGTTGAACTTGAGGGAGCCATGATGGCCCATGTCCGCTGAGTAGCGCAGGTTGTTGATGGTGAAATTCATCGTGAATAGCTCTTCACTGACCTCCATAGCTATGGTAGGTGCAGAGAGAGCCAAGACTCAGCGAGGTTGAGGGGGTCCATTGTCTACTTAAGAGTGGGGATTCATGGGACCCATGTCCTTCTCCTAATAAGACTGAGGGTCACTTGTTAATGGAGATGACTCCAGCAGTGAATAAGAGCAGGTTTAATGATGTGGGGGCATCAAGATGGGCCATTTCTACCCGGTGCAGGAGTGCAGGGCTCTGTGAAAACACTGTGGCTTTGAACTTTCCCAGGGAAAAGTCTCCAACTTGCCACACTGATGGGGAACTGATGACCCCTGATATTTTTATTCATATTCTCTCTGCTCCCCATCTCTACCTTTGTCTCTCTGTGCCTCAATCTCTCTCTTTCTTTCGATGATAGATAGAGAGATTTATATCTAAATCTCTATTTATATCTACGAGAGTGGCTGGCTTTTAAAACTACTGCATATAAGATTGGCATACTTGGTTGTGAGGGCAGGAGATGTATCTATCATCTCTCCTGCCATTACAACCAAGTATGTCAAACTTCTATGCATCAATTTAGAAAGTTTAAAAATCCTAGCAGCTAAAACCAACCTCTCCATACTTCAATTTACTCAACTATAAGATCAGTTAATAATGATTTCTACTTCAAAGGTTATGATAAGGTTTAAACAGGTTAATTTTTGTAGCGTGCTTAAGCACAGTGCTGGGCCCAGAGTAAACACTGTGTGAAGATTATTACAGAAAATTAATAAGCAAATATTTTCTTACTATGTTGGAGCTTTTTATATGGATAAGTATAAGTTGGGTACTAGAATAACCCACATTAAATAAAAGAGGAAACCAAAGTAGAGAAATGATCGTTTTCCCAGGGTCACATGGCTGAGAGGAGTCTGGTTTGAACTCCAGGCCTTAATTGTGACCATCCCTGTTGTGCTCTTGCTCAGACTCATGCATCTAGTACAATGTTAAACAGTTGGGATGACCTACGTAGACCCCAGTAGAAGTAGAACATATGATGCAGGTAAGACCAGCAGCCCCATGGCTTGACTCTACAATAGGTAAGCAATGCAGGGGTTGAATACTTATTTAAGAAAAAACTCTGGGGAAGAAAGCTTCCCTTCCCTCTTTCCTCCCTCTCTCTACTCTACTCATCACTCCTTCATGGCTTCCTTCTGTCCATATTTCCTTCTATCTTTCTGTCTATCTGTTCACTCATCTATGGGATCTTCCTACCTTTCTTCCTTCCTCCCTCCATTTCTTCCTTCTACCTTCCATCCATCCATCCTTTCAACCATCATTCCTTCTTAGCTACCTCACGCTTCTCTTCTTTACTTCTTCCCGTTTATATCTCCTATGTATCCTTCTATTCATCCTTCCTCCCATACCCTTTCTTCCATCTATCCATCCATCTTTTATTTCTCCCATCTCTCTTCTTCCTTCCATTTATTTTATACATATTTTATTCCTCCTTTCTCTTTTTCTATCATTTCTTTCCTCCATCTGCTCATCCATCTTCTCTCCTTGCCTTCTTTCATTCATCACCTCTTCCTTTCATCCATCCACCCGCCCACTCACCCACCCACATCCATCCATCCATTTTATGTTCCCTCCATGGGCATTGAATTGTTCCTATAATGCTCCAGGAACTATTCCAAGGACTGGATAATGATAAACAAAACACAGTCAATGGAGCTGACTTTAGCTCATTTTTTCTAAAATAATTTAGGAAAAGATGGTTGTTATTGGACCTCAGGAGCCCAGAACCCTGTCATGGTTTGGAAAAAGTAAAGGAGGCCCGTGATGGACCCAAGGACAGTTTGAGAAAACACTCCTAATGTAAGGGCAGTTATCTCTTAAAAACCTACCATGTTTTCATTGCAGTGCTTTAGATGCCAAGAGAGTTTGGCCCATACACTGAAACATAGTAGGTGTGCACCGAAAATAAGCATGTCTTTTGGGATAAATTAACTCATAATGGAGAGTTAGAGCATAAGCTTTGGAGCTACGGGAACTCTGGGTTCTATTATTTACTTGCCCTGTGGGCTGGCAGCCTCTCTGAGCCCAAGTGCTCCCATCTGTAAAATGGAACTAAGTCACATGGTTATAGTGCGAATGGAAGGACTGAGTGTATATGTTTTGGGATACATTGTGTCCTCCCTCAAAATTCATACGTTGTAACCCAACCACTGCCTCTGTAAGTGACTGTATTTGGAACAGGGCCTTTAAAGAGGTAATTAAATTAAAATGAGGCCTTTAGTGGGGCGGGGGTGCTCATCCAATCTGACTGATGTCCCTATAAGGAGAGGGGATTAGAACACACAGAGAGACCTCAGGAATGTGTGTGCAGAGGGGCCGTCATGGGAAAGGCAGCAGGAAGGCGGCCACCTGCAAGCTGAGAAGAGAGGCCTCGGAGGAAACCAGTCCTGCCTGCAATTTGACCTTGGACTTCCAGCTTCCAGGGCTGTGAGAAAATAATCCTGTCATTCGAACCCCCCAGTCTATGGTGTTGTGTTATGGCAGCCAGAGTGACTAATCCAGTATGTAATTTAGATGGTGCCTGGAAGGTAGTAAGTTGAAATAAATGTTCACTAGACATCAATGAACAACGGGTGTAATACAGATGTTGAGAAACTCTGATAACAACAAAGATATGAATGGAAGGATAAGAAAAGACTACCAAAGGCAGGGTTTTAGAAAAACTAAAGTAAAAACCACATGAGGGTCAGAATGTGGTGGGGAAACGTATCGGTGTCTAAGATTTTCTCACCCTGGGCTGGAATGCTCCACCAGAACCCGGGAGAAAGAGAAGGGATGAGTTAGGGGCCCTTCAGATGTTCCCCTCACCAAAGACAGAAGGTGAAGGAGAACACATACTCCACAAACTAAAGTGAGAGTGAGACCCAAGAACTTGGGGCCAGAAATACTCACTGGTGGGAGTCAAGGCTGTGGCTCCATAGATGTAACCTGTAGACAGAAGGCGAGAGGAACTGAGTGAGAGCTGGGTGAATATAAAAGATGAAGGCAAAGGGACTGTTTGTGATAAAAGCAGAGGGAAGAGACAGTGGAGAAATATTCGAGGAGGAGGCAACCAGCTAACAAGATTGAAGGTGGCGGGGCCCAGTGATTACCTCATCACAAGGAAGACTGAACCCAGAACAGATGGAGAAAAGCTCGCTTTAGAGAAATGGAGGCACCGCAGAGCCCTGACTGGGAAAGAGATCTGGCTGCAGCTAAGCCCCTCACCATTGACATGAAGACTGTTCCTGTCCAGAGTGAAGGAACCCAGCTGGGTGACACCGTGGGTCTCATGGCTCAGCTCCCAGTACAGCCGCTCTCTGTCCAGCCCGGGGACCGCAAGGTCAGAGCGGTAGGTGCAAATGATGTCCACTCCAGTGGCTGCTCCATGTTTCTCAAGCCTGGAGAAGGAAGGATGTGAGTTATGGAATACAGAGGGGTGTGGAAAGCCGTACAGTGGAAGGAGTAGTATGAGAGAGTGCTGATGGGGTAGCTCTGAAGCCCTGTCAGGGCTCACCTAAATGTCTCTCATCTGAGACAAACTCTTACAATTAGGTACAGAAAACATTTTAACTAGAGTTTGCAGACAGGATGCAGTAGTTCTCTATTGGAGAAGCTTCACTGAAAACAAAATGTTCTCTGAATTACGTGAACTATAAATATGATGCCTCATTTCTAAGCCTTGAAGGAGGCATGGAAGCATCATGGAGGGTGCTGGAGGCCCGCAGTGCCAAGGGCATGCCCAATAACTGAGCCCTGCTGGCTGGTGCATGAAGGTCCACCTGACCTGATAAGTTACTCTATCTAAGGGTCTCACCTGAGCGAGGCCAGTCTGCAGTCTGAATAGAGGGGGCCGACACTGGTCTTATTGAGCAAGAGCTGCAGCTGGAGGGGAAAAATGGGGGATGAGCAGAAGGACCAAGAGGCTGTGGGCAGGCATAAAGTGGGGCTGGTGCTGGTCATCGAGGGGCCCTCACTTGCTGCTGTAGGATACTCTCAGTGGAATTGAACTTCAAGGAAGCTGGGTACCCCATGTCCTCTGTGTACCGCATGTTGGTGATGGTAAAGTTCAGGGTGAAGAACACCAGGGTAGGGCCAGTAGCTGCAGTAGGGGAGGAAGAGAAATATGTCACCTGGGAGCACAGTAAACTGCAGGGGTGTCTGGGTTCTAATCATGGGGCACCAGCAGTGGACTAAGTACCGCCGTGGACTGCAGGAGCTGAAGGAGAGCACGTTATGGAATTGCTAAGACATCGGGAACATTCACTCATGTATTCAGTGAGTATCTACTGAGCGTCTACTGTGTGAGTGTCTCTGTGCTGGGCTCTGTGGCTCAGAGATGAATAGGACAGAGTCTCTCACTGTTGTGACCAGAAGAGGGGCCAGAGCATTATGATGCAGGGCAGCCGGAGATGTGCCACTCAAAGACAGACACGCCATCAACGACCAGGAAACGTTCTCAGTGGAAGCATCATTTCTGGTGTTACCAAAGGCAGAGTAAGAGTGAGGTGACAGGAGCTGAGCAGGAAAGACTGCAGCCTGGGTAAAGGCCTGGCAGGAGGACCGGGCCATTGTACTCAAGGAACTTGAAGTCCCATCACTGTGACCATGGGGGAGTGTGACCTGAGACTGGAGGGAGCCTCTGCGCCCAGGAAGGGGGGCAGTGACTATGCAGCAAGGAGTCTGGGTGTGACTGATAGAGCAGGTGGCCATCCAAAGATTGTCAACAAGACAGGAATTACATAGACAGAGGTACACTGGGAGGGATGTTGCAGCTACTGTGTGGAGGTCAGAATGGAGGCAGCTGCAATCATCCCAGCAAAAACTGCCTGAATAAGGGCTTTGTGATGCTGATGCAAAGAAGAGAAGGACTCGTGAAATGTTTCACATGGAGAGGAGATGATCTGGTGACAGGTGGAGGTGGGAGGTGAGTGAGAGGGCAGGTCAGGTTTAGCGCCTGCGTCTCTGTCTTTGGTGATGAGGAAAGAAAGCAAGTTTGGGAAAAGATGATGACTTAGGGTCAGAGACCAAGGTGCTGGGCTGAATGATGTCCAAGAGGTGGGTGGACTAAGGGTCAGAGCAGCTGTGTGGTGTGGGCTGGACTCAGGGTTTGGATTCTGAGCAGCTGGACCCTAAGGAGCTATTGGGGGGGGGTCCCTGAAGTCCACAGAAATGAGTGAGCTCCCCCTGGGAAGGTGAGTGAGCAAAAAGAGAAGTATCTAGTATGGGTGATTTTGGGGAGAGGATTTGGTGCCTCCTACCTGTGGGCCTATTGGAGGGGGATGGAGCCAGAGAAGTGAAGTATGTGGATGTCACAGAAACTGAGGGAAGAAAACAGGAATAAATTCCAAAGTACACTGTTACCTTAAGGGAATGGTGGCATTACTGGTGGTTCTAGTTATAGAAATGTGTACCTCTTTCTATGCACCATTTATCCTGGGGTCAGTTGGGTGGGGAGTGGGGAGGAGGGGTGACTCCTTACGTCCCCAGTTTGACCACATTTCTATGCATAACCTCTGGACTCCTTCCCGTCCAAATTGGGGTGGTGGGAGGGGTAAAAGGAGGGAAGGTTTGGCTGTTTAAGCAGCTCCTATTTTTAGGGACAGGGCAGGAATCACAGGTACACAGAAGCCTGAAATACTCACTATTGGAGGTGGTGGCCGAGGCCAAATGGGTGTAACCTGTAAAGAGAGGGAGAGATGATGAGGAGGGAGGAAGGGGGAGATGTTCAATATAAAGGCAAATTGGCCACTGGAGAGATGGCCGCTGGACTCACTGCTGGAGTTCATGAGAATGAAGACAGAGTACTCACCTGGAAGACAAAATCCACCCTCCCCACTCCAGAGTCACAAAAGCCTTGCTCAAATCCCTCTGCAGTGAGAGTCTGAACTTGGGCCAGAAGCCTGCTGCCACAGAGCCTACTCAGTGGAGAGGAGGAGACCCAGCTCCCACACGGCCCCTCACCACAGATGTAGACACCTGCATGACAGATGCTGGGGAGGAAGCACCCAGGCGCTTGGCGGGCACATCATCATTCTGGAGATGCCAGGGAGAAGGTACTCCAGGACTCTATGGGTACCGGCCCCCACTTCTCCAGGCTGAAGGTGAGGTGGAGGTGGAGAGTGAACTCCTAGTTCCTTACATTCCTAAGGGCTGGGACTCACAGGGTTGTAGAGACTTTGGAACAGCAGAATACTCACTACTAGGGGTGGTAGTCTGGGTCCTGTGGGTGTAACCTGTGAAGGTAGGGAAACAGCGAGGTGGGGGCGGGACCAGGGAAAGGGGCCGTGGAGGGGGAGGATGCGGCACAAACTGAGAGTCAAAAAGGTGGCAGTCCCTCACCGTTGATGTAGAAACTGTCCTGGTCCAGGGTGTAGGGGCCCAGCTGAGTGAAACCACGAATCAGCAGGCTCAGCTCCTGGTACAGCTGCTCCCTGTCCAGCCCAGGGACCACAGGGTCAGGACGGTGTGTGCAGACGACATCCACTCCAGTGGCTGTCCCAGCCTTCTTGGGCCTGGTGAGGGGGGGTTAGGGGGATGATAATAAACGAAGTGAGTCCCTAGGTAGGGGTTCTGAGATTCCTGTGGGCAGGACAGGAAGGAGCCGCAGGAAATGAGGAGGCTGGTGGAGAGGTGAGAAGTCGGACTTAGATTCTCTGAGCTCACCAACTGTGGCCATCGCCACACTGTGAGCAGAGTCAAAGGGTGGGACATTGTTAAATTTCAAGGCAGAACCTGCATCCCTAAGGCCTGGGGACAGGAAAGTTCATACTTGAGACATGTCTAGAGATGGAGTTCGGGATGAAAGCAACTGGAAAAGACACACTTGTCTTGAGAAAAATGCTGGAAACAGACTTGAAAACCCAAAGGAAATGCTCTCACTGGTCAAAGGGAGGGAGGAAGAAATTCAGAAGAATGACCAGGCTAAAGGCTCAATCCTGCTGATAAGCTCTGCAGGATCTGGGGACAATTGGTGGGGGGAGATAGAATCAGAAGAGGCATTGGTCCTGGATCCAGTGCCTTCTGAATTCCACCTCTTTTAAGGACATAGATGGGGTTGGGTGGGGGGTTGGCCATGAAAGCAGAACAAACTCCTCAGATGCGGAAGCACCAGCAACTAATCCAGATGGCTATTCAGGGTCTCACCTGAGGCGGGCCAGTCTGCAGCCTGAATAGAGGGTGCCCACACTAGTGTTCCTGAACAAGGGCTTGAGCTGTGGGTGAGGACAAGAGAAGTAAATAGATGGGCTGAGAGGCAGGGGCCAGAAGGTCATCTATTTTTGGGACAGGAGTGATGTGTGCAGGGCTACCACTGATGGGCAGTGGGCAAGACGGAGTTTAGGTAAGTGGCTTCAATGAGCAGGGCAGGGAGAAGTGGGTGGGCTGGCATCAGTGTGCTGGGCAGAGGTTAGGTGGGCAAGGTCTGGCCTCATGGGCAGGGCCTTCACCAGGCGCTGCAGAAACTTCTCGGTGGTGTTGAATTTCAAGGAGCCTGGAGGCCACATGTCCGCTGTGTACTGCAGGTTGGTGATGGTAAAGTTGAGGGTGAAAGGCACCAGGGGTGGTCCTGTTGCTGTAGCAGAAGAGGAGAGGTCACACTGGGTCAGGCCTGGGATGGATATAGGGGCAGGGCCTGGGCCATGATCCTGAGACCAGTGGCCATTTCACCGGAGACACAGTGATGGTTGATGAACTTGTGGCCTAATTTCAGAAACACCAGTGTGGATGTTTGACCATCACATACAGTGAAGGAGGGAATAGTTTGGAAGCTACCCAGCTTTGAAGGAGACAGTGTACAACCTAACCTTATTATTTATTTCAATTCAGCTGCTAACTTTCCTCCACTCATCCACCCAACCATCATTGAGTGGCCACGTCTCTGCATCCAGCCAACAACACAGAGGTGATTCACAGCTGAGTCCTATTGCAAGGACTTCCCAGCCCATGTCCCTGACCTCCTCCCTCCCTGGGAGCTGCAGACTCAGGCAGGGGCCTGTCGCTTTCTTCCCTGGTGGGGTAGTGGGGCTTCTGAAGGCTACTCAGTACTCACCACTGTGGGTAGTTTCTGAAGTCTGGTGGGTGTAACCTGCAGAGGGAGGGGGAAAGAGAGAGATGTTGGATGCGGGGAAGGAATAAAAGGCACACAGGGGGAGAATGAGGGCTCAGCAATACAGCAAAGCAGAGGTGGCCACTGCTCACCATCGACCCAGAGACTGTTCTGGTCCAGGGTGTAGGAACCCAAGTTGGTGACACCTTGGGTCAGTCGGCTGAGCTCCCAGTACAGCCGCTCTCTGTCCAGCCCAGGGCCTGCGGGGTCAGGGCGGAGGTTGCAGACTGTGTCCACGCTGGTGGCTGCCCCATCTCTCTCAGGCCTGTGGAGGAAAGGACGCAGAGGCAGAGACAATGAGGACCCGTCTGTGGAAGGTACTGGAGAACACTGTGGGGGCACCACAGGGAATGTTAGAAGTGGTGGCTCTTGTCAACAGGACCTGGAATGCTGTGTCATCCCCCACTGAGTGCATCTGCTCCACACTGTAAAAACTGTTCCCCAAGAGGCCACCTTCTGAGTCCAGGACTCTGCTCATTGACCTCCTGCCGTTTACAATCCATTCTATGCAGCCAATTCTCACTCTGAATGGAAATCTGTCCTTCGTAGACATTTGCTGAAATTCTTCCTTGGCTCCCGGCTGTCTATGGGTGAAGCCTCAATGTCCCAACATGCACATTAGGACATCCAAGGCCTGCCTTGCTGCCTCTCCGTCTTCCTTCTCACAGGTGGGTGTCCCTGCTCTGCATGTCCTCCTCTAAACTGCTTCCCCACCTTTTCCCTCTCCCTGCAACACTCCTCCTGGCCCAGAGCTGTCGGCTGGCCATCGCTTACTGCTCTCTGGGTCTGGGGTTCCATCTCAGCTCCTCCTAGGTCCTACACTTCCCTCGCTCAGAACTTTAATGGTGTCAATGCTGTCACTGGGCCTCCGTTTCTCATCTATAACATGGGTGTAAGCATGGTATCCATGGGTATCGTGTGAGAATTAAATATGTTGATATTAGCAATATGTGAGGAAAAGTATAATTAATATGTATACACATTTGCATATAATTAACACTACGGCACTATTCTTGGTGACAGAGCCTATGCTTTGGCCCTCATCAAGTTTTTGGAACAGAGCACTAAGCTTGGCATATACTAGGGGCTCAAGAAATGTTTGTGAATGAAAAAAAAATGTGTGGAACTCCAGGCCAGAAGATTGGAGAGGCCACTTTGCTGTGGGGGCATCAGCACCCTAGGCTGGGCTCCAAGGAAGATGACTTCATTCCATCCCTCTTCATTCTGGCACCTTAGAAAGAAAATCTTTTCTCAAATTCTATTTTGGAGGCTTGGAGAGTTATTTTGGGGAGAGGGGCACTGAGGCTCAAAGCTCCTAGAGATGCCAGGATGGAGCAGGCCACACATGCTTGGGAGCCCCCATCCCTAGATGACCCAGGGCGAGTTCCACATCTCTGCACTGGAAGGGAGCAGAGAATCAAGGCAGGGCTGATGTGGAACGAGAATGAAGCGATGGTTCTGCACACAGAAAAGAGGTAAAGAAAGCTTAGTGAGCAAAGGCCTGGGCTCTGAGGAGGCTGGGCTTCAGTCCTGGTTGAATTGGCTCTTTTCGCAGCTATTGGGTCTGGGGAAGTTCCTTAAATTCTCTGTGCCTGAATGTTTCATCTATAAAATAGTGATATTAATTATGATGTTCAAAGGGTTTTGGGAGATGCTGTATGCAAATCATTTAAATGTCCCGTCCCACTAAATTTGCACTCCCAGGGGACATTTGGTAATGTCTGGAGACAGTTTTAGTTCTGCATTGGGACATGGGACATCTAATCCAGGGTGGCTCCAGCACCTACCTATCCATTGAGGTTTCATTTCTTTACACATGGACAGTCACTGGAAGTGCCAAAGGAACAGCCCTTCAACTGCCAAGAGCTTTCTTGCAAAAAAAAAAAAAAAATGCCCAGTGCTGCCCTGCTGGCAGGCTGTTTCCTGTCCACATCCTTCTAAGAAGAACGGTAGTGGGGCATGTCCCATTCAGGGCTGGCAAGTCTGGCTGTCTGACGGATGATCTAGGTGAGCAGAGCACAGGACTAGCACTGGGGCTGGGACTACGGTGAGGCAGGCACAGCTCCCAGATACAACATTTAAGGGTGTGCTCTCAGGATTGTGCAGGCACAGGGTTTAACACCTGTGGGCAAGCATCTCCTTAAATTCTGTGCTCTAGGCACCCCTCTTCCCATGGCTTAGTCCAGGCCCTGGCCAGCCCCACAGCCCACATCTGACTACACCTCTGAAGGCAAGACAAAGAGGTCTCACCGTAGCGCGGTCAGCCTGCAGCCAGTGTAGCGTGAACCGATGCTGCTGTTGGTGAACATGGGCTTGAGCTGAGAAGGAAGGAGTGGTAAAACAGAATCATCATGTAAAACACAATGTTTTAAAATAAAACAACAGCTTCCTAATCTTCTCATTCCACATTTAACTCTCAGAAGGACGCTTTGGGACAAGTGCTTTTATCGTCTCAGTTATACAGATGAGGAAGCAATACGAGACTAATTGCTGCTCCAGTCACATCACTTGTGTGTGGCAGTTCCACGTTTTGAACCCGGACCTGCCTGCGTCCCAGCCCTCCACAGCCTCCAGAATTGTAGCAAGGGGGTGGGGTGGAAGTTGGAGAGAACATGGGTAACAGGGGGCTCTCACCAGATGTTGTAGAACTGACTCTGTGTAGTTGAACTTCGCAGAGCCTGGCTGCATGTCCTCTGTGTGGTGCAGGTTGGTGATGGTGAAGTTGAGGGTGAAGGGCACCAGGGCAAAGCCAGCAGCTGCAGTGGGGAGGGTGAGGAGAGGCCATGACTGAGACAGTGTTGGACCAGATGTGAGGCAAAGGGTCACTGGAGCACAACCCCTACCTGCTCTGGGGGCCCTACCAGCTTGGACATAAAAGGGAGGGGGTGCCCATGCCCAGGGCTGTTTCTCTGAGGTTGGAGACAGAGTGGGGGCAGGGAGTTGAGGCAGCGGTATGTTCTATTCTACATGTTCCCAACTTTGGCCACATACAGAAAGATGATGGTATCAGGGTGCTATGTTAATGATCCAGAGATGGTGCCTGTATATTAGCCTCTAGGTTATTTGCTTCTTCGCAGCAGAAAGGATCCATTAGCTCTAAAGCTTACCAGGGCTAAACTCAAATTTTTACATGTCCTGTTGTTTTAAACATAGCCCAAACAGTATATTTTAGCCACTTTGAGCCTGCCTGCTCTGCATAGCCTATGAAATTGCAGCACCATCTGATAGCCATGAAGAGGATAAGCCTTGTGCTGATCAACATCCTAAGCCACTGCAGCCCCTCAGAGCTGTCTAACCCTGACCCCACTGGGCTGTTGAATGGCATCGCCTAGACACATAGCCTCTCTGGTCCTCTCCTCCCCTGGATGTCCCCTTGCCCTTCTCTCCATAGTAGTGATCACCATGCCATAACCTCTTTTATTAATTTTTATGTTTTAATTACAATTTACATTCAACATTATTTTGTATTAGTTTTAGGTATACAGCATAGTGGTTAGACAATCATATAATTTACAAAGTGTACTCCCGATACTTCTGGTACCCACTGGCACCGTACTTAGTTATTAAAATATCATTGACTATATTCTCTATGCTGTACTTACATTCCTGTGACTATTTTGTAATTACCAACTTGTACTTCCTCTTTTTTTAAAAAAAAATTTTTTTTTATCCTCATCCGAGGACATTTTTGCATTTATTTTCAGATAGAGCAAGAGGGAGAGAAGGGGAAGAGAGAGGGAGAAACATCGATGTGAGAGTGACACATTGACTGGTTGCCACCCACACAACCCCAACCAGGGCCGGGGACAAATTGCAACCAAGGTACGTGCCCTTAGTGGGAGCTGAACCCGGGTCTCTCTGGTCCGCAGGCTGACGCTCTAACTGCTGAGCCAAACAGGCCAGGGAATTTCCTCTTTTTAAAAAATCCTTACATGAGGATATGTTTTTATTGATTTTAGAGGGAAAGGAAGAGGCGGAGAGAGAGAAACATCCATCAGTTGCTTCCAGTATGCACCCTCCCTGACTGGGGATCAAACTTCAACCTAGGTATGTGCCCTGATCAGGAACTGAACCCATAACCTTTTGGTGTACAGGACTGTGCCCCAACCAAATGAGCCACCTGGCTAGGGCTCAGTTGTACTTCTGAATCTTTTCGCCTAATGCCCCAACCTCTCTCCCTTCTGGCAACCATCATGATTCTTTTTTCAATTTTGTTTGTTCTTTTATTTTGTTCATTGAAGGTGTCTGCTCTGAGGGACCTCCCCTGCATGCCAACCTAAGTGCTGACCAATAAACCTTGTGTGTGCTACACTGCCATCTGGTGATCATATCTTTTCGCTTGCCCAACCCTGAACATCCCTCCAATCCCCTATGCTGGTTAGACAGGCGGAAGAGTAAGTGAGAAATGGATACTTCAAGACCATAGTCTATCTAGGCTTGAGCCAGTTTCTCCCTCTTACCAGGAGAACTTTGAGGACCCTCCTGGAAAGGTTCACCCTGCAATTCCTGATTTGAGGATTTGTCTGAGGGGCAACTTGCCAAATAACAAATTTTCCCTAATTTACTGACTTAATAAAACTCATTTTATGAATAATTTCTCTCAAGTATATTCTTATTCAAGAGTATACTTAGCGGAGACTTCCGGGCAAGATGGCAGCATAGATAAACTCAGTATTGAGTCCTCCCACAACCACATCAAAGTTACAACTAAACTACAGAACAACCATCATTCAAAACTGCCTGAAATCAAGCTGAATGGAAGTCCTACAACTATGGAATTAAAACAGCAGCCACATTGAGACTGGTAGGAGGGGTGGAGGAGGATGGGCTGGTCCCACACCCACGTGTGACGGATAAAAATCAGGAGGACACCTCGGCTGAAAAGGTCCTCTCTGAGGACTGAGGGGTCCCCGTCCCATACCAGGTGCCCCGCTTAGGGTTCCAGTGCCAGAAAGAGAAGTCCCCATAACTTCTGGCTGTAAAACCAGAGGGAACTGAGGCTCAGGGAGGCTGACACGGCTGGAGCCCCAGGCAGCTCCTTAAAGGGTCTGCACACGGACTTATCGGACTCACTCCCTCTAAGCTTGGAGAGGAGGCAGCTCAAGGGGCACTGGAGACACTCAGAGAAGAACTGAGCTGTTTGGCACTGGAGTGAGGGCTGGAGAGGGGGCTTTCTCCGGGACAGACGTGAAGTCAGAGGCCTTTGTTCCTTTGGTGAGCCCTTCCTTGGGGCTGCAGACAGTCGTCATATCTGGGACTCCAGCAACCTGGCTCACACTGGTATCCCTGCCCTTGTGATTCCTTGAGGCTCTGCCCACCCAACTTTCAGGCCTACCCAAGCTGTTGCCAGTTGCTTAACCATAGGATTGGCCTGTCTTGGATCCTGCTTCAGGTTTTCCTAAATTCTTTCAAACAAGCAGGTAGACCCATACCTCTCGTTAAGTAATACACAGAAACAAACACATGGAGGCAGCCAAAATGAGGAGACAAAGAAACAGGTCCCAAATGAAAGAACAGAACAAAACCCCAAGAAAAGAACTAAGCGAAATGGAGATAAGCAACCTAACAGATGCTGAGTTCAAAATACTACTTATAAGGATGCTCAATGAACTTAGTGAGAACCTCAGTGAACTTAGTGAGGACCTCAAGAACATAAAAAAGGACCAGTCAGAAATGACGGATGCACAGTCAGAAAAGAAGGAGGCGTTAACTGAAATAAAGAATAATTTTCACAGATTCAATAGTAGAGCACGTAAATCCAAGAAGCAAACCATTGATTTGGAATATCGTATAAGGAAGCAAAAAACGCACAATCAGAACAGCAAAAAGAAAAAGTAATCCAAAAAAATGAGGATAGTGTAAGAAGCCTCTGGGACAACTTCAAGCATGCCGACATTCACATCTTGGGGGTGCCAGAAAGAGAAGAGAGAGAACAAGAAATCGAAAACCTGTTTGAAACAATAATGGCAGAAAACTTTCCTAACTTGGTGAAGGAAACAGACATAAAAGTCCAGGAAGCACGGAGAGTCCCAAACAAGATGAACCCCAAGAAGCCCACACCAAGACACATCATCATAAAAATGCGAAAGGTTCAAGACAAAGAGAGAATCTTAAAAGCAGCAAGAGAAAAGCAGTTAGTTACTTACAAGGGAATTCCCATAAGGCTGTCAGCTGATTTCTCAAAAGAAACTTTGCAGGCCAGAAGGGAATGGCAAGAAATATTCTGAGTGATGAAAAGCAAGAACCTACAACCAAGATTACTCTATCCTGCAAAGCTGTCACTTAGAATTGATGGCCATATAAAGAGTTTCCCAGACAAGAAAAAGTTAAAGGAGTTCATCACCACCAAACCATTATTATATGAAATGTTGAAGGGTCTTTTTGAAGAAAAAGATAAAATATATGAACAAAATGGCAATGAATACATATCTATTGACAATGGAATCTACAAACAAAATAAACAGGCAGAACAGAAACATTCTCATAGATACAGAGAACATTTTGTTGGTTGCCAGATGAGAGGGGTTTTGGGGGAATGGGTGAAAAAGGTGAAGGGATTAAGAAGTACAAATTCATTGCTAGATTGACAAACCTCAAAGGGAAAGGAGTTGGGGGGTGGGAAGAAATAAACCAAAGAACTTATATGCATAACCAATGGACACAGACAATAGTGTGGGAAAAGGCGGGAGGGGGGTGGGAGTGGGGAGGAGGGGGTCAATGGGGCAAAAATGAGGAACATATGTAATACATTCAACAATAAAGTTTAAAAAAAAGAGTATATTTAGCCCTGGCCAGTTTGACTCAGCTATTAGAGTTGTTAGCCCATGGACCAAAGGGTTGTGGGTTTGATTCCCAGTTAAGGGCATATACCTGAGTTGCAGGTTTGATTCCCAGCCCCAGTGGAGGTGGTGCAGGAGGCAACCCATCAATGCATGTCTCTCACATTGATATTTCTCTCTCTCTCTCCCTCTCACTCTATCTAAAAATCAATGGAAAAATATCCTCAGATGAGGATTAACCCCACCTCCCCAAAAAGTATATTTAAAGCAGGGCTGGGGGTGGGACTGGTATTCAAATTTAGTAGGGTTACTGAAAAACATTGAAAAGATAATATGGGAAGCCTGAGGAATCTGGTTTGAAAAAAGCCACCTATAAAAAAGAGTGACATTTGGAAGAAATTAAAATATGGACTGCATATGAGATGATACCTAAGTATTGTTATTTTATGTCATGTGGTAATGGTACCATGTTGCATCACATAAGACAATGTTCTGATTCTGAGTGATTCTTGTGGAGTTTTTAATGGTGAGATGTCGTGATGTCAGGACACATTCATGGCTCTATCTATGCAGAGTCAGCTCTGCTATAATGCTTGTTTTGAAAACATGTTTTTTTTTGTTGTTTTTTTTTCAGGGTCATGGATATATTAGAGAACAATCTGAACATAATGTACATTTCATGTTTGCTCATGTGTAATGTCATCTGCAAGGCACATGGGAGAAACACTAGTTACATGCAGAAAACTGCACCCAGCTGAACCATAGCTGCAGACGCCACACAAAAGCAGGAACACCACCCAAACCAGCTCAGTCAGTGCCCCTCAGAGCAGCCATGAGAGATATCATACCCTCTCGGGTCTGATATTCTGGTCGATTTCAAGTTACCCTCCTTTCAAACCACCTCACGAGAACTCACAAGCTTCAATCCCTGTGATGACCACTTCCACAAGCAAACATCAGTCCTCTTTCAAGGTAAAGGGCTACATTGTTTGGTAGTATTTATGTATTTCTTAACCACTCAACATATGTAAAACTTCTGTTTTATTAGATTCCTATTTTTTTATGTCACTGACAAGATTTTTGAGTGTTGAGCCCCAATCTTATTATTTTACAGAAGCCCTGTGATTTCCATTGTGTGACTTTGCACAGCATAGGTTAGGATCACCTAGGTCAGGTTATAGCAGAACAAAGTGCAAGAAACAAATAAGACAAAATGTCAGCAACTGGGCCAGATGCATGGAGGCTCCTGGCACCCCCGTCTCAATGTTTTGGCTATTTTTGATAGTTCTCATTATAAAAAGTTGGGGGATGGGACAAACACACACAAATATTTATAAAATGGAGAAACAACATCATGGTCCCTAGACTAAAGTAAATTGCACATCCCTTACCATGTGGCTAAAATGAAATGACTATATGTGTTGACTATAGCCAGAGAGACTACACAGTTGACCCTTGACCAATGCGAGGTTTAGGGGTGCTGACCTCTGTGCAGTTGAAAACTGTATATAACTTTGATTCCCCCAAAACCTAAACTGACTTTTGGTATCTGGAGGGATTTATTCTAGGATTCCCTGTGGCTGCCAAAATCCATGGGTGCTCAAGTTCCCTATATAAAAGAGTGTAGATCAATGGATACAGTCGGCCATCCACATCCGTGAACTGTCAACCACGGATCAAAAACAGTACAGGTATTCCTTGAAAAAATTTCCATATAAGTGAACCGGCATAATACAATGTTGTTTGAGGATCTACTATATGTATTCTCAAGAAACAGATTCATAAATGTATTATTTGAAGAATAAAGTCATATGTATTCAATATATTCACAAAGAATATTCCTCAAAACAAGCTGTTGGTTATGTAGGTAAACTGGGGAATGGATCCTTTACTGATTTGGCTTTGGCAAACTGGCCACTAGGCAAACCTGTTCTCAGTGAGATTCTTCCCAGGTTTGTAAGATGATTTAGAATTCAGGGTCTACCTATAGGTTTTAGAAGCAGGTCACAGACAATGGCTTAGAGCTCTGAGGACTGGGGGTGGGACTGGTATTCAAGAAGTCAGCAGGGGCCTGAATTAGCCTTGGCCTCTCTGGAGTGATGCTACCAACTCCACTCCTCTATGTCCAGTGATTAGACCCAAAAGGAGTGACTGGGAGCCTATTCAGAGAAGGGAATATTTACCTGTGGGACTGGAGAAAGGAGTCAGGATCCCCATAGAAACTGTGGCCACCATAGACACTGGAGAGAAAAAAAACATAAGCTTGGGGTGGGGAGTCATCACCTCACCTTGGAGATACGAGAGGGGGTGGTCACACCTGGGAATTTCTTGGACACTGGTCCCTGTACATTGGAGACTGGGGTGAAGTAGGGATAAGCGTAGGCACAGTCAACTTCTGGTCTCTTCCACTCCTAAGGGCTGGGACTTATGGAGTTGTAGAGACTTCTAAGCCTTAGAATACTCACTGCTGGGGGTGGTTGCCCGGGTCTGGTGGGTGTAGCCTGCACAGATAGGAGAAAGATAAGGTGAAGAGGGGCAGGGATGAAGGAAAGGGGAAAATAAAGATGGAGAATGTGGGACCTGCTGAGATGCTAAAAAGATGGCAGCCACTCACCATTAATGCAGAGACCTTCCTGGTCTAGGGTGTAGGGGCCCAGCTGAGTGACACCATAGGTCAGTCGGCTCAACTCCCAGGACAGCTGTTCCCTGTTCGGCCCAGGGACCACAGGGTCAGGGCGGTGTGTGCAGATGACGTACATTCCAGTGGCTGTCCCAGCCTTCTTGGGCCTAGTGAGGGTGGATAATGGGGCTGACAATAAACGAAGTGATTTCCTAGGGAGGGGTCTGACATTCCTGAGGGCAGGACAAGAAGGAGCCACAGGAAATGAGGAGGCTGGTGGAGAAGTGAGAAGTCAGACTTAGATTGTCTGGGGTCACTGACTTCTGGCCAGCCTGGGCCTTTAAGCAGAGTCAGTGGATGAAAGGATTATTATTAAATTGCAAGGTAGAAACCTGCATCCTCAGGACATGGGGACAGGAGTACTCATACTTGAGACATGTGTACAGCTGGAATTTGGGATTAAAGCAAGTGAAACAGACACATTTGGCTTGAGAAAATCCTGGGGACAGAATTGAAAATCTAAAGGAAATGCCTTCACTGGTCCAAAGGAGGGAAGAGGGAATTCAGAGGATGGTCAGGCTAGGGGTCCAATCCTGCTCATGGGCTCTGTAGAATCTGGGGACAGTTGATAGGGAGGTACAATCAGAAGAGGCATTGGTTCTGGAACAAACGCCTCCTGAATTCCACCTCTGCTGGAGATCTAAACAGGGAGGGCAGGAAGGAATGGGACCAAACTCCTCAGTTCGAGGAGCACCTGAGGCTGCCTTGACTGGCCCTTCCAAGGTCTTACCTTAGCATGGTCAATTTGCAGTCCAAGTAGAGGGGGCCCACAATGCTCTTCTTGAACAAGATTCTGAGCTGTAGAGGAGGGAGAGGGAAGTGAATGGATGGGCAGAGGTGCGATGGATGGGGCTGGAGTTAGTGGGCAGGGCTTTTGCATCTATGGAGACAAAGATGAGGTGGCTGGAGTCTACTTCCACAGGTGTGACTCTGGTAGTGGGCAGGACTTGCCCTGGTGGTTGGGGCAGAGGGATGTGGGCCAGAGTCAGCTTCCACGGATGTAGCAGTGTTAGGTAGGCTAACCTCAGTGCCCGGGGCAGTAGTGAAGTGGGCCAGGCTCTCACCGCGTGCTGCAGAACTCTTTCAGTAGTGTTGAACTTCCAGGAACCACGGTGACCCATGTTCTCCTCATAATTCAAGTTAGTGACAGTGAAGTTGAGAGTGAATGGCACCAGAGCAGGGACAGTGGCTGCAGTGGAGGGGAAAGGAGATGCCCGCCTAGCCCACCTTATGCTCCGTGTGTTAGCTTGGGGTAGCCCACATGTGTGTCATCAAGCACTGGGGAGGGGTATCCACCTCCAAAACTGGCAGTTTCAAAGGGAGGAGATTCCAGATATCAGCATGAACTGAGGGGCACTGAGATAAATATGAAAAGCTGCACTGTGGAGGTAAATTCATCATACAGCAGAAAGCAAACACGTATGACCCTCTGGTTTGCTAAAATTCCAGACAAATATCCTCTTTTCCTGAGTTTCTTTTTTTTTTTTTAATTTCATCCAAATTGTTTCTATGTGATCCACTTATTTATTGGTTTTTAAAATTGTTTGAAGAGACACTTCCACTGTGTTTTTATAGGCCTGGGCCTGTTTTAGGTGTTTTACTTACATTTTAACTCATTTAAGCCTTGAGGTAAACCCTTTGGAGGAAGATAATATTCTTATCTTTATTTTAGATGTTAGACCTAAATCCAAGGGAGGTTAAATAATTTGCCCCAAGTCACACAATCTCTCAATGACAGAGCACAATTTAAACCCTGGCTTTGTGGTTCCAGAGTCTGTGCTCCTAACCCCTCCACCTGGACCACAGGCCACTCCCACCTGCGTGACTGCTCATTCTGGCCAGAGTGAACAGGGATCCAAATGCCTTCATGAGGCCCTAACTGATGAGTATGATAGACGAGTAATACAGGTAACGACAGCTCATCTGGGACCCTCATCAGGGACAATGGGTGTTATCAAAATCTATCATGAGCCATTGGGAGCCCAGGAGTAGAAAGCTGGCCCTCATTTCAACCAGAAAATGCCCAAATCCCCAACCAGAACCTGTAAGAGGGCATTTCTAGGTATACACAGAGCTCATGTGGTTCCCTTGTTTCCTATAAATGAAAACTAAAAACCCTAGAGAAAGAACTACCCCGCAGCACCCACACACCTAATTCACGCAAGGCCACTCTGATTGAAATTCAATACCTATTTATACCATCAAGCTTTTATTGTCTGTCTGTTGGCCTGGAAGCCCATCAAAGACTAGGTCCCTTTCTATTCTGTTTTCTTCTGCATTACTAGGGCCTTTTATACAGTAAGTGCTAAAGGAATACTTATTGAATGAATGAATGAAGAAATGGTCATGGCCCTCCATTGGGGAATTACACAGAGAAAGCTCCTACCTATGGAGACTGGAACTGGGGTCGCTGAAGTTGCTGGGGTGATGGTGGAGGCTATAGCAAGTGAAAAGAAAACACAGTGAGTCAAATATGGTGGAGGAAGGCCTCCCAGCCAAAGAGGGCCCATCATAGTGATGGAGAACTCAAGAAGTTAAACATTTTTTAGCTTCAGATATATGGTTAACAGGCTTGGTAACTAATGAATGTAGAAAGCTATTGTTCCAGGGACTGGAATGTATAATTGGACCTGCCCTGGCTTCAGGAGGCCCACGCCCGAAGGTCTAGAAGTCACCCAGATGGTGTCTGAGCCCTTGTGCTCGAGGGAGAGAACGTCCACCACCCAGGATGCAGATGAAGAATCACTGGTCAGCAGATGAGGGGCTCCTCGGAAAATCGCCAGATTGCAGCTTTTATCCGATTAACCTTTTCCCCTGAATTCCAAACCCTTCACCTACACTTTTTTCTCCTTATAAAAAGGGTCGGCTTGAGATGAGATGAAAGACGGTCTTTTTAGGGTACATAAATCTCATCTTCTCAGATCGCTGGCCACCTGAATAAAGAGCCCGTAACTGTCCAACCCTTGTCTCTACTTATTGGTTCTGGTAGTGACAGATAGCACACTGACTTTTCCGGTTTCAGTGGCGCCTTCAGACCTTTTGTCTGTCTTCAAGCCCATGCCAGGCTTCTCTTTTCTGAGCAACAGAGTGAAGGTGTGAAAAAAAAACAATATTTCCTGACTCTTTTCCTCCCTGGAGAAGTGTGATAAGGATAGCAGAGAGAAGAAATAGGCCCCAAGGCAAAGCAATAGTGGGACCCAAATGAGTACTCACCACTAGGGGTGGAGGGCAGGGCCTGATGGGTGTAACCTGCAGAAATAGAGGGAGAGAGAGGGTGAAGAGGTATAAAAATGGGGGCTGGGAGGAAGTGTCAAGAATCTGAGGCCCATTGAGTGTCTATGAATCCATTTAAGCAGTATTTTTGGAGCACCCTCAAAATAAAGACCCTATAGACAAACCCCAAAGAATGCCACTAGAGCACAGGGAAGAATTTCTATATCAGGTCATCTGTCATCTTCATCCCTCTGCCATCTGTCCCCAACCCCTTTCTCTGAGTGTCTACTCTCTCCATATACCTCTGAAAAAGTTGTGAACGAATGCCTCTTCCTGAGGGAAACAAGCAAAGGTATAGGCCAGTGTGGGACAAGCTCAAATCCTGCCCACACCCCAGAGGGCAGGAGATCCAGAATGTGTGCCATGAGCCAGAGCACACAGTCTGCAATGAAACCCCGACGGCAGCGCATCCACTCGCCATTGACATAAAGGCTGTTCCTGTCCAGTGTGAGGGAGCCCAGCCAGGTGACACCGTGAGTTTCATGGCTCAGCTCCCTGTACAGCTTCTCTCTGTCCAGCCCAGAGCTTGTGGGCTCAGAGTGGTAGGTGCAGATGGCATCCACTCTGGTGGCCGATCCGTCCTTCTCTGGCCTGGGGTGGGGAGGAACATAGGTATGAGAACATATGCAGGACTCATGATGAGGGAGATGGCAAGAGTGAAATATCTAGGAAAGCCCCAAAGCTGAAATACTCTTCCTGAGAAGGCAAAAAATAAAATAGAATGAGACAAACTATTTAAAATTTATTAATACTCAATGGATGAAGAAGGTAGATTAAAACTCAAGTTGACTATTATAAATAGTGCTGCTACAAACATGGGGGTACATATATTCTTTTGGATTGGTGTTTCAGGCTTATTAGGGTATATTCCTAGAAGTGGGATCACTGGGTCAAATGGCAGTTCAATTTTTAACTTTTTGAGGTAACACCATAGTGTTTCCATAGTGGCTGCACCAGTCTGCATTCCCACCAGCAGTGTATTACAGCTCCCTTTTCTCCACACCCTCGCCAACACTTGTTGTTTAATAATTTGTTGATGGCGGCCATTCCGACAAATGTGAGGTCATACCTCATTGTTGTTTTAATTTTTATCTCTCTGATGATTAGTGATGATGAGCATTTCTTCATATGTCTGTTGGCCATTTGTATGTCCTGTTTGGAGAGGTGTCTATTCAGCCCCTCTGCCCATTTTTTAATTGGGTTCTTTGTCAAGCTAAGATCTGGAAACAAGCCAAGTGTCCATCAGTAGATGAGTGGATTAAAAAGCTGTGGTACATGTACACAATGGAGTACTATGCAGCTGTAAGAAAGAAAGATCTCTTATCCTTTGAGATGGCATGGAAGGACCTGGAAAATATTATGCTAAACGAAACAAGCCAAGCAGAGAAAGACAAATATCACATGATGTCACTTATATGTGTAATATATTGAACTAAACAAACTGATGAACAAAATTGACCCAGAGACATAGAGGTGGGGTACAAACTGAAAAACCTCAGGAGGGGTTTTTATGGGGGGAGAGATAAACCACAGAACTTATATACATGTATGCATGACCAATGGACATAGACAACAAAGCTGGGGATGTGGCGGGGGTTGGGGGGTGGGGAGGAGGGTGTCAATGAGGGCAAAAGGAGAAACATCTGTAACAAAAACAAATTAATAAAAAAATAATTTAAAAAAACCCTCAAGTTGGCACAATGTTTGTTTGTCTTTCACGAGCCAGTATCCTGCTGCCCCTTCTAAGACTAGGCCAAAGGGGAAACGTATTCCCATGGGGGCAGCACCAAGATTTTGCATCACCTTTGAGCATCTCAAATGTGCATGCCACAAAAACTGTTCACTTTTGCTTTTTAATATTCCTTAACACAGAATAATTTTGGAAATTACTAAAGTTAACTCCTGGCTTTAACTCCTGGGAGATGTTCTACACCTTGGTTAGGACCAGTTGGAAGACAAAACAGAAGCCAGAGAAACAGGAACTGGAAGGAGGCTCAGCAGATGCAGCATCGCAGGTACCCAGAGCCCGCCACACTGGGCAGGTGGGGAACACACACAGGGTGAAGAACATAAACTGAATTTGGGAGGCATGAGATGTGAGCATCCACTCCTGAGCATCTCACCTGAGTGAGGTCAGTCTGCAGTTGGAATACAGGGGGCCGATGCTGGTGTTCTTGAACAAAGAACAAAGCTGGGGAGAAATAAGAGGGAGGTAAGCGGGAGAAGGGGAGGGTGCTGGCCAGGGGTGAGGAGACGTAGGCAGCAGGCATCTCAGGGCTCTTACAATGGGCTGTAGGACCTCTTCTGTCATGTTTAACTTTGCAGATCCTGGATGTCCCATGTCTGGCACGTATGGCAGGTTTGTGATGGTAAAGTTGAGGGTAAATGGAACCAGGGTAGGGCTTGTTGCTGCAACTGAAAGGCAGATGAGAGGACTTATCTTGAGTCCACTAAGATTCTCTGTCCAGTCCAGCCTGCAGCCTCTGAGCCCTCACACATATGGGCTCTGATTTCTGAACCAGAAGGCTCCACCCAGCTTGGTTCTTACTTCAAAGCAGGCAAGGTCCACCATGTAAACCATACCCAATGCTCTCGGCATCTGGAATTGGTTCTTCTCCTAGGAACTCTGATTTGGAGGTCCCTAATGTGATACCAAGACTTAATTGGGCTGGTATGTGACCAGACTCATAACACAGGTTTCTAGTTACAGTTTTAGTTCGTTCGTTCATTCATTCGTTCGTTCGTTCATTCATTCTTTCAGTGAATATTTATTGATGCATGAAGCATCACATCAAATTATGTGCCATCACCACTGGACACATATATTTCTAGTTAGCAAAATAGAATTTATGTCAATTATAACAATAGAGGGAATTTAATACAAAAATACTGGAAGGGTAACACAGAGAGAGATTAGCAAAATCAAGAATCCCCCAGCCCCATAGAGCTAATGAGACAAAGAAACAAAAGTGTCACACCAGAGATTGCTGAGGCCATGGAGGGCTCACAGCCCCTGCTGGAGATGCTACATAAAGCAGAAGAGAGGGAGGTGAAGAAATACCCTGGCTCTTCTCCTGCCCTGCCCACCACTGTTCTACCAATGCTTCCTATTCGCTGAACCTCACAAGTAACTAGTTAGCAACGATAAGCACGCTTGGATCAAACTGGTGTTCTCACTGATGACCCAACTGAACCTGAGCTGAGAACTTCCAACTCACAGATGCCTCCCAGGAAAACCAAAGAGCCTCTAACCCATCATCTAGGGACCTAATTTCCCTGAATTCTCCCTGGAATTCTGTGACAACTCCAACTGACATGTGAGCGACTGCCTGGGGTATTCTGTTGATAAGGACTCTGAAGCTGTCTTGAGCTCAGAAAGAATGGATGCTATTATCATTTAGTGATGTCAGCCATAGATGAGTGGGAGTACTCACCCAGATGTCATACATCTATACTGGGTAAAACCTGACAGAGACATTATAGACTAGAACCAGGAAAGAAAAGGAGGGTTTCCCACATCACGAGGAATCATACTTCATTTCTTTCTTTCCTGGGACAATGTACATATTTCCTCTAGACCGACCATGAGCAAGTCACGGCAGTGGACACTAGGCGCACAAAGGAGAAAGACACAGTTGCTCCATACAGCAGGTTTACTTAATAGTGAGGTCAACAGAAATAAACAATGTTCAAATACAGAGAACATGCAAAAGTGTGCAATATATTTATTTTTAAAAATAAGCAACAGGATTTAAAGTGAGTGATAAATAAAAGATTTTTATGCCTTTCTTGCCTAATAAAAAGTTTTTAAAAGCACATTAAATAATACTAGTTAGATACTGAGCATATTACTTGGTCCATATTCAGTACTCAGTAACGTCAGATATTGTGTTATCTTTTGATGCTCACCATGGTCACATCACCATCACCATCTTTATTATCATCACATTATCATTAAAATCATCATCAGAAGAATCACAATATATATTCTTATATCACAAGGATATAAGCTCTATGAAGGCAGATATTTTTTAAAAGTTCATATTCCTTGCTGTGTCCCCAGGGCCCAGGATAGAGTAGGTGCTCACGGAAGTTTGTTGATTGACTAATTATTGCTAGATTTACTGTGACTTTCCATCTTTATTTGAGTGAATGATGTCAGAGACGTTCGCACTCACCAGGCATACTCTAACAGATGTGCCATTGACCGGTGCTTACCTGTGGGGCTGGGGAAGGAAGATGGGGTCTCAGAGGTCTCCAAGTCAACTGTGGAGGTCCCAGGAGCTGCAGAAAAGCCTTGTCAGTGGAAGCAGAAAGGCACTCACATGGCAGAAAGCCCAGCAGGAGCTATTATTTACTGGGCTTTCTCCATGTGGGGCTTGAGCTGGATTCCCTCTAGAACTGGGGGAGAGGGGAAATAAATAACTCATGCCCTCCCAGGAGCTCCTTCCCTCCTGGAGAGGACACAGTGGGCAGGAGGAGGGGTCAGCTCCTCCCCTGCCTGGTATGGGGGGCTCTGGGACATCAATTGCCTACTCACTGCTGGTGATGAGTGTGGAGCTCCGATGGGTGAAACCTGTAGCAAGAGTGGGGGAGACTAGTGGGTAAGGTTAAGAAAAAGGAGGGGGACCAAGTATGGGTCAGGGCTACCCTGGTGCAATACTCATGGGGCAGGGGCTATTGGGGATTCTCCATCATCAGTACTTTCACATAGGAAAGAAGGCCCTGAGGGTAAAGCCAGTCCAAGATAAAGAACAAACCATGAGGTCCACATCATTCAGAGTGCTTGGCCAAGACCCTAAGGGCCAGACAGGAAGTGTGATCTCAAGTCAGAGGGCAGAGGCTGCCCAGTAAGAAGGAAGAGAACACATCCCAGCTGCTCACCATTGACATAGAGACTGTCCTTCTCCAGCATGTAGGGTCCCAGCTTCGTGATGTCATGGGTCAGCCGTCTCAGCTCCCAGTATAGCTGCTCTCTGTCTAGTCCAGGGCCTTCGGGGTCAGGGCGATGAGTGCAGATGATGTCCACTCTGGTGGCTGTCCCATCCTCCTCAGGGCTGGGTGAGAACCTCCACATGGTTGGTCCAACTATCTCTCCATCATTCATCCTTCCCTCCCTCTTTTTGCCAGCCCCTAAGACAGGAGCTTGGGAAACTCTAGTTAATGAGGAGTCTGCTCCCTTTAGGAAGATAACCTCCATAAACAAGTAACTAGAAAACCACAGGACTCCAAGCCTCTTGCATGCTTGGGAGAGAAGCCTCTGAAAGCACTGGATGTGTGACAGACACGGATGAGGCACTCTTGGTGGGGGTGCACAATCCTGGAAGAGGTGAATGAAGCCAAGGCAGCCACGTCCTGCCACAGGTCTTGACCGACACAGCAAGGTGCTTAGGGTCAAGCTGAAATGGGTGGAAGTGGCCCCAGGACAGATGACCACTGAACGACCAGTGACATTTTCCTTCAGAGCATTGGAGTTTTCAAATGGCGGGATCAGAAGGCTAAAGTTACCCTCTCGAGATCCTATGGACCAGCAGGGCTGGAACATTTCTAAAGCAACTCAAAGAACTAAATGGCCTGAGAGAGATGCCTTTTTGTTAGTCTGTCGGCACGCATGGCTTGTCCAGCAAAAGGCCTCTGTGCATCAGCAGCCATCTCCAGACAGAAAGGGGCTCCCACGCCAGGGCCATGGATGAAGCACCTTTCACAACAACTACCATTTATCGATTAAATACTTACTATGCAGCAGGCCCAGCATTTTGTACTCATCATCACTCATTTAATCCTCAAAGCATCCTTATGGTCTGTATTGCTCAATTTCCACAATTTTTATTACACCCATTATAGTACATATTATATATGACACAACTGTATATAATGTAAATATAATACACATACATAAATATATGTTTAACGTATATGATATATATTTACTTATATTTTGTTATTGTATTATATATTGTACATATATAAATTATATGTTATACCTGTTATACCTATACCTAATATGTAATATATATACATATATTTTAACTAACTTATACAGATTATACTGTTGATAATGTATATTAGGTATTATACCAGTGTCGCCCCATTTCCACCACAGGCTGGAATGTCCAGGTGCCCTTTCTAGCCCTTTTTAGGGGATGGTGTCTGCCTAAACCCCCAGCCGTCTCTGGGCAGGGCAGACTCCTTTCAGCTGAGTCCAACCCATTTAGGAGCACATTTTCTCTCTGTAACAGTAGGTTTTCTTCCCCTCTTAGATGCTCTGGGCCAGTTCTTGAGAGAGGTTGTCAGACTGGCATTTTCCACACCCTGCAAGGTCATAATGGGGCTGCGGAGACAGTGCTGCTTGAGGGCCAGGAGTTTGGATCTACAACCCCGAAAGCTGGGCCTTCTCTGTGAGACCTGCACAAGCTACTTTATCCCTCTGAGCCTCAGTTTCACCTTCTGCTCGTGCTTCATGAAGCTGTTGGCAGGACTGATGAGATTAGATGTAAAGTACCGTGCCCTGGGTCTTAGTAATTATCAGATGCTCTTCTTGTTGTTGTAGGTATTTTTGATGCTTAGAATCATGGGCAGTGTTCTTACAAATATGGACAAAGTCATAGAGTCCATAAGGTGGGGTCCCAGAGCCCAGCTGGGCTGTGTTCTTGGGTAAGGTCTCACCTGAGCAAGTCTAGTCTGCAGCCTGCATGGCGTAATTTCAGACTGCTGTTCTTGAACACAGATTTGAGCTACGAGAGAGGAGAGGGGAGGGGAGGAACCACTGTGGGAGGCTAGGAGGAGCTGGGGCATTGGAGAGGTGAATAGGGTAGAGGTGGTGAAGGTGGGGGCGTAAGTGGGGTAGGCAGGGCTGACTCTAGTGGGTAGGACAGGGGTAAAGTGGGTGATGCTTGCATTAGTGGGTGAGGCTCTCACTAGACCCTGCAGGATCCTCTCTGTGGTGCTGAATCCCCTGGAGCCTGGTTGCTGCATGTCCTCTTTATAGGGCAGGTTGGTGATGGTGAAGTTGAGGGTGAATGGCACCAGGAAAGGGATGGCTGCTGCAGCTGGGGGAGGAAAAGGAGGTACCCGAGTTAGAGCTGACTGGGCTCTCAGACAACTTCTGGGGGCTGAGATGAAGGGCCCAGATCTGAGGAAGCAGGGATTTAAAGTAGATGGGTACCTTAGGGCCAAAGACAGAAAGCTCTACAAACCAGAAAGCAAGATGCTGATAAATGCAATAGCATGCACACCCATTAGAATGGCTGTTATTATTTTTAAATGGAAAATAGCCCTGGCTGGTGTGCCTCAGTGGTTAGAGCATTGGGCTGTGGACCAAAGTGCCATGGGTACGATCAAGGGCATGTACTTGGGTTGCAGGTTCGATTCCCAGCCCTGGTTGGGGGACATATGGGAGGCAACCAATTGATGTGTCTCTCTCACATTGATGTTTCTTTCTCTCTGCCTCCCTGACCTCCCTTCCATTTTCTCTAAAAATCAATGGAAAAATATCCTTGGGTGAGGATTTAAAAAAAAAAAAAAAAAGAAAGAGTAAGCATTGCTGAGAAGGTGGGGAAATTGGAGCCCTCATGCATTGTTGATGGGAATACCGGTGGATCGGCTATAGAAATCGGTTCCTCAGAAAGTTAAATTGAGGATTACCATATGATCCAGCAATTTCACTCCTAGGCATATACCCCAAAAAACTGAAAACAGGAACTCAGATACTTGAACAAAAATGTTCATAGCAATTGAACACTATAGTGAAAAGGTGGAAACACCTAAGTGTCCATAAACAGATGAATGGATAAACAAAGGTGGTCCATTCATGCAATGGAATAGTACTCAGCTATAAAAAGGAATGAACTTCTGATACATGGTTTGCTATGGGTAAACCTTAAAAACCTAATGCTAAGTGCAATAAGCCAGACACAAAACAACACATATTGTATAATTCCCCTTACGTAAGGTAGCTAGAACAGGCAAATTCATAGAGACAGAAAGTAGAATAGAGGTTACTGTGGGCTAGGGGAGGGGAATGAGGAGTTGGTGTTTAATGGGGAGAGAGTTTCTGTTTGAAATATTGAAAATATTTCAGTGGTAATAGACAGTGGTAACAGTTGCACAACATTGTGAATATGCACTTAAAAGTGGTTAAAATGGTGAATTCTATGTTGTTTTCAAATCCTCTCTTAGCCCCGCAGCAGCATGAGACCAGGGGCCTGTTACTCAATATGTGTGATCCTCTCACTCTTTAACTGTAAAATGAGGAGAATCATACTTTGTAAGAAAATTATGGAGGTTAAATGATTGTTAAAAGAGTTAGTACATTTCAAGGGCATTATGCTGAGTGAAAAAAGCCAGTCTCGATAGGTCGCATGTTGTATGATTTCATTGATATGACATTCTCAAAATAACAAAATTGTAGACATAATTTTTAGATTAGTAGTGTCCAAGAGTTGGGCTGGATGGATGTGATTATGACAGAGCAGCACAAAGGAGATTTTTGTGGAGATGAGACCATTTTGTACCTTGATTGTGGTGGTGGTTACTAAAGTCTACATATGTGATAAAATGGTGAAGAACTACATGCATACACACACACATGAGTACATGTAAATTGTGACATCTGAAATCTGAGTTCTGTAGGTTTTAACAATGTCAAATGACTTCCTGGTTTTGACATTGTACCATAGTCAAGTAAGATGTTAATCATGGAGGAGAAACTGGGTGAAGAGTACAGGAATCTCTGCATTTATTTTATTCTTTTATAAAAGAATCTACATGTATATCAAAATGAAAAGTTAGAAATAAAAAGAAGAACAGCATGGGGCCTGGCATGTAGTAGTGCCAAACAACTATGAAAGATGGTTATCTTTCATAGTTATTATCAACTGTAACCGCTTGTTTAATTTCAGTCTCTCTCAATACACTAAACTGGGTGAGGGGAGGGACCACACCTGACTTATCATCGTATCCCCTCTGCCTAGCACAGAACACATGCTCAATAATATTTGTTGAACTAACTATTCTGGTCATTCCAGTGCTAGGTGTTGTTATATACATTTTCATTTAACTTTCACAACAACCTTATGAAGTATTTCTCCCATTTGTCAGGTGAGGAAACTGAGGCACCAGAGGGTAAGTAAATTTCTCAAGGTCAACAGCTGGAGAGATGAGGAGGTCACATTCTCTGCTCTTGAGGAGTGCAGAGCAGAGCAGAGCAGAGGGTGCCCATGGTAGCTCCAGCTTCCCTAAACAGCAACTTTTTTCCTGCAATTCCCAGGTCCCAGCGTTGAGGCTTCCTAGAAGGAGCTGGAAGACACGTCACCTACCTGTGGAGCTGAAGTGGGCTGGCACCGGCGAGGTCCTTGGGAAGAACATGGAGGTCACTGTAGCTGAAGAGAAATGGTCTGGGGTAAGAATGGGGACCCTGAGTGTGGCGTGGATGACTCTGTGCATCTTTCCTGTCCAGTCCAAGCCACTGATGTAGAGGGGGTGAGTGAGTCAATTGGGTCCTCTGGCTTCCTCTCCTACCAAGGCCCTGGGGGGTGGAATCAGTTGCTGTCCACAGGGGGCCTGGAGCACCTGGTCATCAGGGCCCTGAGTACTCACCACTGGGCATGGAAGCTACGGTCTGATGGGTATAACCTGAAATGAGAAAAGGAGCCAGTACTAGGATATAAGCAGGGGAGAAATGTCCAAGATACAGGCTGAGGACCACAAGCCCCTACTCCAAATGGAGACTTCAAGTCTACACGGTTCAACAGTAATCATTCAGGGGCAATTATATCTTGTTCCTAAAGGGCTGAGAAAACAAAGACCTAGTCCCTGCCTTCATGGGCTTGCATTTATTTGGGAAGATATATATACCAACATTTCTAGAGCATTGGTTTTCTGTGTTTCTCAGACTCTAGAAGGGATTTTGAGATTTTGGCAGGGAGATAGATAAATAACCAGACTCTTGACTCTCCATTAGCTTCAGGAAGAGGGGTATCATCAATCATCTGTCTGTAGAAAAGTTTTTGTACCCCAGACAAGTATACAAATCACCTCTCTGGAATGCATAGATGCCAAAGAAAGAGAAGACTTTGCAAACTGGAGGGTCTATGGGGTCCTTGAATCATCAAATGGAATTGCTTGGGCAAAAGACTTCTCGTAGGATGGGTACTGTGGCAAACTGGAGAGTCCACATCCCCTCTGGGATGCAGCTTCTCAGCTTCAACCTATGGTTACAAAAAGCATGCTCACCATTGACGTAGAGGCTGTCTTTGTCCAGGGTGAAGGAGCCCAGCTGGCTGACACCGTGGGTCCTATGGCTCATTTCCCAGTACAGCTGCTCTCTGTCCAGCTTAGGACCCATGTGGTTAGAATGGTATGTGCAGACAGTATCAATTCCAGTGGTGGTTCCATTTTTCTCAGGCCTGGCAGGGAGGGTACACAGTGATGGGGAGGTGGGGACTCCAGGTCAGGGCCCAGAGAAGCAAGAGGACTGGTGGGCTCCTGAAAGGGCCCTGGTGCTGGGGGAAGGCTGGGAATCAATTGCATAGCCAAGGCCCCTGAACACAGAGGATATAGCATCCCATAATGTTGATATTTGTGCTAAATTTTAAAGTGAAAATCATAACAAGGCAACATATACCTTAACAACAGAAGCACAACAGAGAGGGTAGAAGGAAGGCATCTGAGAAATAGATAAGGTGAAAAAAGGCAATGTCAAATTGCTTAAATCCCAGCTCTGCTGCTTAATTCCTGGGGGATTCTGGGTAAGTCTGTCAATCTCTCTGGTTTATTCTTTTCATCTTCAAATGAGGTAATAGTATAGACCTCACAGCACTAAGTACTAGTAAGTGCTCAATAAAAGGCAGCACTTTTTGTTAAGTATTAAGAGAGTCAGCGTCCTTGGCATGAATGGACTTCGCAATGACTGAGCATTCTGAAGGCAACACTGAGGTCAAGCAGCCAGCCTAGGCTGGGGGTGGGGGTGAGGCTGTGTGGTATTCCAGAGCCAGAGAAGTCTCAGGGCCAGTAGAAAGGTAAGATAATAGCATCATGGCTGAGGGACCATGGTGAGTATCTTTGGAGCTCTGGGCATTCCATCCTCAGACAAAAGGTCACACGTGGCAGACTCCAATAAAACTATAACCATTGTGCTTTATTGCTTAATAACCCCCCTAGGGGTGGGCAGATATCCCAAGTCCACCTCTGAGTAGTCAGGATTTGGTCATTGCTGAGGAATAACAGGAAAAGGGAAGGCTTACTAGGAATTACAGGCAGGCCAATTATTAGCCTAGAAAAGAAAATCATGCATACAGTACTCTAGAACAAGGTTTCTCAACCTTGGTACCATGGACATTTTGGGTCAGATAATTCTTGGCCCTGGGAGACTATCCTGTGCCTTGTGGGATATTTAGCAGCATCTCTGGCCTCACTCACTCTAGACTAGTAGCAAACCCACCCCTGAGTAGTGACAACAAAAAAAAATTCTCCTGACATTGCCAAATATCCTCTGGCAGCAAAATCACTCCTGGTTGAAAACTACTGCTCTATTGGGATGAAGCTGACTTGACTGGCATGTTGATTTTTCGATGAGTTCCAGAAGAAAGATCTTTCTGAAAAGTTCAACCTTACCTTCTGGCAAGGAAAGACTATGAAGATTCTCCATTTTATGATCAGGGAGACAGTGTGAGACAGACTGGAGGCTGGTGGTCAGCTCTCCTTGGGATAGTGGGTGCAGGACGTTAGGGTCCAGCTTGTGGTCGCCCCCCCCCCCACATTGCCTATTCAAGTTCTCACCTGAGCAAGGTCAATCTGCAGCCAAAGTAGAGGGGCCCAATACTGCTGCTCTGGAATAATGGTTTGAGCTGGGGATGAAAGAGAGGAGGGTGAGCAGATGGGCCGAGGACCTAGGCAGGACAGAAGTAGACATTGGAAAGTGGGTATTAGAGGGGTTCTCACCAGGCGATTCAAGATTCTCTCCATATTATTGAATATCTCAGATTCCGGATTCCCCATGCTCTCTGTGTAGCGCAGGCTGGTGATGGTGAAATTCAGGGTGAAGGACTCCAGAGAAGGGCTCACACCAGCATTAGGAAAGGAAGAAGGGAGATTTATTATGAGCTGTGGCTGGGATAGCTATGCTGGGCCCAGGGTGGTCACTCTGGCCTCAGTGTCCAGCCCATTGGGCCTATGATGCCCCTCCTGTGTCACCATGGCATCCAGCCACACTTAGAAATGGGGAGGCAGCGCTGTACTGGATGGATAATTTTAGCTGGAAAAAGAACCTCAACTTTTCAGCCTAATGTGTCGAAAGAGAAGCAGCTTACTGGTAGACATTTTGGTGGAAGAGAAGCATAGCCAGTTGTTTGAACCCTGGGGCATAATTTTCTACAGTCTTTTGACTTCACTATGAGGGAATGTACAACTGCTGAGTGGTCAAGGCTGTTCCTCCCATGAGAGTGACCTCTGCCTCAACTTCATCAACCTTCTTTGCAGAGTGAATATTAGATGGAGTGATCATTTCTGGTTTTCCCTGAACAGTCATTTGGCTCTTGTGTAAATATTAATTCAACCCCCACCCCCCACCCCCGTTTCTTTCTTAAAAGTGTCCCAGTATGGAAAACAAAACAAAACAAAAAAAACACCTAGTCACCTAGGGGATAGAGTATGAAGAATCAAAAGGCCAGAGGTCTGAGCTGGGTGACTGTACCCTCTACAAATCGAATCTGTGGAGCACCAACTGTGTACCAGCCTTCACACTGAGCACTTTACTTGCAGCATCTCAGTTGACCCTCATCACGGTCCTGATAGGTCAGTGTTACCAGTTCCACTTTACATATAGGAAAACTGAGGCTCAAGGAAAGTAAATTTTACCCTAGTCCCACAGATAAAGAAATGGCACAGCTATGATGCCTTTTTGGCTCAGAAATAGTTATCTTTCCAATTGTATGCACATGTTCATTGCAACATTGTTTACAATAGTCAAAAGGTGGAAGCAAACCAAGTGTCCATGGATGGATGAGTGGATAAACAAAATGTGATATATTTATACAATGGAATATTATTTAGCCCTACAAAAGAAGAAAATTCTGACACATTCTAAAACATGGATACACCTTGAGACAGAAAAGGACAAATACTGTATAATTCCACATTCAGTATTGTATGAGGTCCCTAAAGTAGTCAAATTCATAGAGACAGAAAGTAGAATGGTAGTTACCAGGGGCTGAGGGGAGAGGGCAATGAAAATTATTTTTTTAATGGGTACAAGAGTTTCAGTTTTGCAAGATTAAAAGGTTCTGGAGATTGGTTACACAACAATGTGAATATACTTGACGCTATTGAAATGTACACTTAAAATGGTAAATTTTATGTTATGAATATTTTATCATAGTCAAAAAATTTAAAACAATAAGATGCATAAAAAATAGAGGGTTTTAATTTTTTTCTTAAAAAACTCTTTTCTCTAATACATTTATTGAAGTCAGGTCCCAGTGATGGAGCTGTTTGTGAGGGTGAGGGCATAGGTAGATAAAGTTGATAGAAATCTCATATTTCTGACAAAATAGAACTAGGAATGGGGCTCCTGTGGACCAAAGAGGAGAGAGCTTATTACCTGCTAAAACAAACAAATAAAAATAATAATAACATTCCCAAGAAGATAACAGGACCCAGAGTATACACAAGCATAATTCACAATATCTAGCATACTGTCCAAAATAATTTGACTTAAAAGAACCAGAAAAAATATCTATCTTGTCCTTGAGGGAAAGACAATTAACATGCAAACTCTAAGGTGACCCAGATACTGGAATTAGTAGACTTCAATGCAGCTATTATAACTATGCTCTATGAGGTAAAGGTAAACAAACTTAAAATAAATTTAAAGAAAGAAGTTCTCAGCAGAGGAAGACAAACAAACAAACAAACAACAAAAAAGAATCAAATGGATGTTGTAGAACTGAAATATACAGTATCTAAGATTTAAAAAAATCACTTGATGGGCAGAATAGAGATGACAGAGAAAAGGGTTGATGATTTTAAAGATATATTTAGAAATGATCAAATATGAAGAATGAGAAGAAATTAATTTAAAAATAAACAGACCCTCAGAGACTTGTGGGGCACTATTATTCATTGGAGGGCCAGAATGAGAGAAAGAGATTAGTACAGAGAAAAGTTAATAAAATAGTGGCTGAAACTTTCCCAAATTTCTTGAAAACCTACATTTTCAGATTCAGAAACTTAGAATATGCCAAGCAGTATAATCTCAAAGAAAACTGTGCCCAGACACATCATAGTCAAACTTCTAAAAATCAGTGATCAAGAACAAATCTTTAACGCATCTAGAGAAGAAAATGACATCATTAATCATGGAATGACTTGGTCTATAGCACATGCCACATATTTTAAAGCCTGCAGGAGTAAGGCATGCTACATAAATGGCTCAGTGGATCAGGGTGGGCAGTCAGGAAGTGAAGAATGGGCATCTCTTTAAAGCATATAAAACATCTGCAGTGTCATGACTTACAAAATATAGGTCTGAAGGTAAAATTCAAATTATGGGACATCAGTTGTTATCCCATAACTTCAGACTCACACAGCAGGATGAGGGTTAGGGATACCCAGCCTAGGTCATGACATAAGCATGTAAAAGACCCAGAGACTCAATTTTTAAAATATATCTTAAGTGCAGAGGTAAGGCAGGCTTCATGGCATAAATCAAGCCCCTGTATTAGGTTCCTGGAAACTCAGATGCCCTCAGACCCACATCTGGGCAAGACAAGGAGACAAAGCAAGATTCAAATTTATGACTAAGTTCTCGATTGATTTTCTGGATATTTAAAGAAAATCCACAAAGGGGAAGTATACAGAGATTGCTATATTCTTTCATTCATCTAATTTACAAATATAAGGTGAGTGCCTACTAGATGCTCAGCTCCAGGGTGGCAAATACATAAAGACTAAGTAAACAAAAGTGGTAGTAAATTCCATGAAATAAGTACTCATGGTGATATGATAGAGAAACAAGGTATGTATTCAGGAGAAGTGCTACTTCATACAGTGGCCTGGGAAGGTCTTTCAGTGAAGGTGATGGCGGGGCTGAGATTTGAAAGACAACAGGTGCCAGGAATAGCTGATCTTCAGGAAGGGCCAGTATAAAGGCCAGACAAAGGTTAGGACACTAGAAGGACAGACAAATATCTGATGTGGCAGTTTACAGAGTGATGGAGAGAGCGAGGGTACAGGCTGAGGCTGGGTGGTCAATAGGGACCAGACCACACAGAGGTCAAGTTTTGCAGAACTCAGAGAGCAGGTTGTGACCTGTAGAGCTGAGAATGGGTGATAGAGGCATGAAAGACTCTGGAGAGAATGTAGACATCACTGAAGATGAGCAAAAATTAAACATGGGGAAAATAATTGAGTCTCATCTTGAAGAAATATGGGGCAGAAGCCATTTGCTGGACTTTGAGCTTCTATTTTGACTCAGAGCCAAGGCCGTGGGTGGGTTCAGGGCTGCTGTGAGGCTGGGGATGGACACTTTGGAGGGGACATTAGGAGCTTTCTCCTGAGGAGTGCACTGTGGGGAATAAGGGTTGGCTGGACATTGAAATTTCAGATTTGAATACTCACTGCTTGTGTCAGGGGTCCAGTTGTGACGGTTATAACCTGCAGGTAGGGAGAAAAGAGTAAAGAAGTACTGTTGGATGGGTGGGATTTAATAGTTGGCAGACCCAGAAATGAAATTCATTAACAACATTTTGAGATTCATAAGTGAACAATAATGGCTACATTTCATTGGGTACCTTTATGTGCTTTGTCCTTTGAAGATAGCAATGAACATCATCACCCTTACTATTGCCAAAATAAAAATACAATATAACTTATTGGGAATGGACTATGCAGCAGAAATAATGCTGAACACATTACAAGGGTAATGGGGCAAATTTGTGAACAAATATGTGTTCCAAGCCTCTGTGGTCTCTCAGTCCTTTAAGGTAATTGTTCGCAACATTTTATGATAGTATGATTTTATTTTTCTAGCTTAGTTTCTGGATTTTTGTGTTGTATATTAGAGGCAATTGCAGCATAAGAGAGTTATGTGAAGGGGAAAGTGTAGTGAGATGATGGGCAGGGCGTGTGCATGGGCTGGGGAATGTTAGAGAAAATTTGGAAGTGGGGTTGGATGGTAAAAAGGAGGAGCGACTTGGAGGTTGGGTGGATGGTGTAAAACTTGGAGCATGAAAGAAACTGGGGAAAGAGAATTTTTCATGAGTGCTTCTCTGGGTCACGGATTGCATCTCCTTTGATGCTCTGTGAGAGATGTGAGTAAAGACTGGACCTAGGGGAGTCTCTTGGGTTATTGCTGACGGCTCTCATTTAATTTTCAGGACAATCCTGCCTGGTATGTATGCTTATTCTATGAACGGGACATTAGCTCCTATAGAGTTTACATGACTTGTTCAGCAATACACAAAACAGAGATCTGTCACTCACCAAAGTCCCATACTATTAACCACTGCTTTAAGTCAGTCCCAATCATGGAGTTCAGTCTGCTACAGACACAGAGCAGGGTGTGCTGTTGTTAATGCAAATAGATATTTCAAACTACAAAGGAAAGGAATTCCGAGCTGATACAGAGGGTAAATAACTAATCAAGCACTAGGTTGGACTGTTGGGCCAGTGGTGACTAACGGCCCTTCCTGTCCTCAGATTTGAGACTTCCTCTGCCTGAATAGTCTGCAGTGCTGACTTGTGATTAGGAACTTGGGGTTTAGACCCAATACCGGGTTCGAGTGTGGACTTGGCCAGTGCATTATGGCTGGATGACCTTGTGCAAATGACTTCCTGTGGAAATGCATGATGGTTCTCTAAAAATGAGTGTTATAACTCACAGGGTTTAGAATAAGATTAATAGGCAATAATATAAATAAAAATATTGTCACAATTCCTGGCACATAAGAACCTTTTGGTGAGAAATGGCCACTATTATGGTTATTCTTGGCATTAGTGTTGCTGTTAGGGGCATTGTTGCCAACAGTTATGATTCATGGTGTACTGGCTATGTGTGGTGGTGTTTCATGGACAGTTTCATGAGTGTCATTGTGGCTGGCCCATGGAAACTGAGAAAACTGCTATTAAGTTGATGGAGAGAATGAGGTAGAGTGAGGGCTGAACTCGGCACCCACTGGGGCAGGCTTAACTGCAGGGCTGTGTATGGCCTCCTTCTCTCCTTCTCTCCTTCTCTCTCTCTCTCTCTCTCTCTCTCTCTCTCTCTCTCTCTCTCTCTCTCTCTCTCTCCCCCCTGCATGCTCCTCTTGGATTCCAATAGGACGAGAATCATTTCTTTCCATGTGGTGAAAAAGAAAAGAAAATCAACCTCCTGTGGTGTGTTAAGCATTATAAAATGAGCCCCCAGGAAAATGCTAGGATTGTACCAGTGCTGTGAATCTGTGTACAGCAATTTCTCACCCTCAACATTGTTGACATTTTGGTTTAGACAATGTTTCATGGTGGGGGGCCGCCTTGTGTTTTTTTTGTGTGGGATCTTTCCTTTTTTGTTTTTGTTTTTTAATCTTCACTTGAGGATATTTTCCCATTGATCTTTAAATAGAGTGAGAGGGAGGGAGGGAGGGAGGGAGGGAGAGAGAGAGAGAAACATCGACTTGAGAGAAACACATCGACTGATTACCTCCTGCAGGACCCTGACAAAGGCTGGAGACCAAACCACAACTGACTATTTGGTCTGCCGGCCAACACTCTAACCACTGAAACAAACTAGCCAGGGCATTATTGTGAGATCTTTAGTAGCACCCCTGGGCTCTCCCCACTAGCTGTCATTAGCACCCCTCCAGTCATGACGTGAACATGTTGCTGGACATTACCAAATGCTCCCCACCCCTCGCCCCGGAAGAGCAGAATCCTCTCCAATTGAGAACTACTGGTATAGAGAGACGGGGGCTGCAGGACACTCCAGCTGCAGCACAGACACTCACCATCGACATAGAGACTGTCTCTGTCCAGGGTGTAGGTGCCCAGCAGGGTGACACCTTGGGTCAACTGACTCAGCTCCTGGTATAATTCTTCTACGTTCAGCCCAGGCCCCATGGGGTCAGGATGGTAAGTGCAGGTGGTGTCCACTCCTGTTGCTGCTCCATCCTTCTCAGTCCTAGGGTGGTAGGGTTAGGGAAATAGGATGTTCAGAGACACAGAGGAGTTACATACTTTGTTCAATTCTTTCCTTCAATTGACCAGTGCCCCCAGGTTTTATGATATTCCTCTTTATTGGGTCTTGGCTGATTTCTCAAGCATGTTCTTTTCTGGATGGATTCATCTAGGTGCCTTCCCACTACATAAAGTGGCTGATCTTCAGGCCTTCAAACCCAGTAAGCTTTTTTCTTTTGCCCCTCATTCTTATGGAATCATTTTGGGTCATTGTTTCAGCTACCAGTTTTATTATTGTGAGGTCTAATCTCATTCTCTCTGGCCAAGACCTCTCTCCTGAGCTCCGCGCTGTGTAACCAACAGCCTCAGGGATGTCCTTCAGACTTCTTAGATTGCAAATATCTCAAATTCCGCTTACCATCTTCCCTCCTAAAAGCAAAGAACCTGCTCCTTCTCCCATGTTTCCATATCCATGCCAGAACCAGAAATTTGAGAGGCTTCCTGAACCTTCTGTTATCTTTTCTCCCCCATCCAAGCAATTATCCAGGTCTAGTTCGACATCTCACTGGTCTCCCCACCTCCTGTCCCATCATCACTTCAAATTTTTCCCTCCCTATAATTACCAGTGTGCTTAAAATAAATGACATCATGTCAGGGCTCTGCTCACAATTCCATGGTTTTCCACAGCTCTGAGTGAGTGTAATTAATACTATGGAACACCTACTAGTTGTTCCACTTTTACACTGACTGTCCCATTTTAACTATTCAGCAACTCTGTGAGATCAGTGCTGATGATTCCCACTTCACAGAGGAAATAAAGTCATCCCCATGTTAAAGAACTTCTCAAACCTAACAGGGCTAGTGACAGAAACAGGATGTGACTTCATACATTTGGACACGGAGACCATTCGTGCTCAGCTTTTTGCTGTGTAAATACTATACAACCCTTTCGTGCCTTTAACCTTGACCTGAGCTCTTAATGTTATTCATTTATCAAAACTCATCCCACAGTTTACCAACTACTCACACAGCTACACTCGTGTGCACCCGTTCATCTGCTCAGCCAGTTTCCCAGGCAGCCAACTTCCTCCCTTCCTTTCCTCTCTCTCTCCCCTTCCTCCCTCCCCCTCCCTTTCTCCTCCCTTTCTTACTTTCTTCCCTTTGTCTTCCTTCTTTTCCCTTTTTGCTTTTATTCAACTGTTATTTTCTCCATACTCTGCTCTCCAATTTCACAGAACTCCTCTCATGCACCAGGATATTTCTCACATCTGCCCCATTATTTAGGGCACACCACCCCTTGAAATAGATTTGCCACTACTTCTTCCAGCTAATGCACACTCGGCTGTCAAAATATACCTCAGGCACCACCTTCTTCAGACAGCCTCCATCCAACTCCCCTGCTGAGCTAAAAGTCCATTTTCTGGGCTCCCATGGCCCCCATGAAGCGCTTTATTATTGTACTAACCCTTTCATATGATGATAATAAGTCTATATGGTGGCTGTGGGCATCTTGAGGAAAGGGCCCATGACTGATTCTCTCAGTACCCTTAGCTGTTGTCACAGGGTGTTGTTACCTGAGGTGTCTCATTTCCTGTTTGTTTAATGAGTCAGTGCTGCATTTTTTTTGACCAATAAGCATAAATGCTCTGTGGATCTGTTTATCCAAATAATTGAAGAACTTTGATAAACACCTCTTTCAGGAAGCCCTCTCTGATGCACTCAGCCAGAGGGTATGACTTCCAAATTTGAATCCCTGGAAGGCCTCAATTACTTATGATTCTTGCTTGGTAGTTGCCCTGTTTAGGTCTCACCTCCAGGTGAGCTTGCCTGTGACAATGCCCTTTATACGTGTTAGGAAGGGAAGTCTTACCTGAGCAGGGCCAGTCTGCAGCCAGAGTACAGTGGGCCGATGCTGGTGTTCTTGAACAAAGAACTGAGCTGGAGAAGAGGGAAAGGGAGGTAAGCTGAAGGGACCATGGGGAACAAGAATAAAGAAGGCCAGGGTCGGCAGACATGGGCTCTTACCAGGTAAGTCAAGGCCCTCTCAGTGGAATTGAACTTCGCAGAGCCTGGGTGTCTCATGTCTGGGGTGTAGAGCATGTTGGTGATGGTGAAATTGAGGGTGAAAGGCACTGAGGCTGGGCCCTCATCTGCAGTTGGAGGGAGGGAGAGAGGAGACTCATCACAATCTTAGGCCTGAGCCGCATGTGGGGGGAAGGGACTAGTGCTATCTCTCTGTCCACAGTGTCCAGTTGTTGAGGCCTGAGCTATCCTACCTGGGGGATCATCCCTCCTCAGTCAGTCAAAGGGGGAGAAGGGACCCCCATGCTAGATGTGTGACATCACCTCAAAAAGAAACCTCAACTCTTTCATCAAAGAGTTCATGAGGCTGTTCAAGGGCTGATGAGTTGTGGACATACTGGTGGAAGATGGGGTGCCGAGACCGTTTATGCTCAGCCTTGGGCCACAGATGTTTGAGCAGTCAAGAAATCCAAATTGTAGTAATTGCCACAAAGGAAATGGTGGCCTGAGTAAGAGCATGCTGAGCTGAGATTTGGAGGACAAGGCAGAACCAGGCACAGCTGAGTTCCAAGAATGGTGAGTGCAAAAGCCCTGAGGATGGAAGGACATTTGAGCCCTGGAGGGAAATAAATGAGGCTGCTGAAGCCAGAGATTAGGGAGTGAGAGAGCGAGAGAGAGAGTGAGACAGGTTGCCCTGGGTGGGAATCATGGTCCAGATCATGCAGGAAGTCATCAGCCACAAATGAGAGTTGAAGTTTAATGGTACTTAGATGATAGAGTCCTACCTGTAGAGCTGGGGGTGGGGCTCAGAGATGCTGTGGGTCCTGGAGAGAATGTGGAGGTCATCAGAGCTGAAAGAAAATACAATATGAATAAAAATGGCTGGGCTCTATCATGAAGCAATGAGAGGGTAGAGCTGTTCATGGGAACTTGTATCTATAGCTTGGCTCAATCTGAGGTTCCTGGCGGGTTGTGGCTACCCTGGAGGTGGGTGGTACTTTCCTCTTGGGGACTAGGCTAAGGGAAAAAAGGTCACAGAGGCATATGGACACCCACGCCCTCATTACTCACTGCTGGTAGTGGGGATCCAGTACCGATGGTTATAACCTGCAGAGAAACAAAGAGGAAGAGGAAGATGGTGGGAGGAGGTTAAGAATGGGATGAGGGCTAGAAATAGAAACAAACGCACAAAACTCCCTGTGTGCTTTCTCTGAGATACATCAAAGAACAGCAACAGCACTGTACTCTTTATGAGTTAACAGCCTGATACTCTGAGGCTAATGATCATTTCATCTTCATTATCATTAACCAGAAAGACAATCATGATCAAAGCATCCCCAATCTTGTGGGGGTTTCCTAAGTGCCTGGAATAATAGCAACCTTATCAAATGAATAATAGGGACAACAATTTTAGATGAGTGTTTCCAGCCTTATTTGTGTTTTCTTTATATATTAATTACAATTTTGTCCTTACTCTTCCAGTTTATTCTACTACCCAACCCTCCCAAGACAGCTTGGTCTGTGACAATGTAGTTCTCAGACTTCTGTAATGTTGAATTAAGAAAACTAAGGGGGGCAGGGAGAGAGAGGGGGGGGGGAAGAGAGAGAGAGAGAGAGAGAGAGAGAGAGAGAGAGAGAGAGAGGTGGGCTTGTGGAGAGAAGAAAGGCTGGGTATTAATCAGAGACTATAAAGTTGAAAAATAAGAGAAAATGGGGGAAAATAGGATTTAAAAAAGTATGGTTCTGGATCATGGATGGGATCCTCTTTAATGTTCTGTAAAGTAATGCAAGTAAAACTTTGACTTTTTATATTTATGGTCTGACTGGGTTTCTTGAAATGAAATTTATCTCTGAGACTGGGCCAAGGGGAGCCCTGTGATTTACTTGGTTTATTCATTTGACCCTCACAATAATCGTAGGTGAATCTTCTATTCTGAAAATGGGCACTGGAGCCTAAAAAGGTCTGGTGGCTTGCCCAGGGCCACACAGTCATCAAAGACAGGACCAGGGCTGGATTAAAGCAAGATAGATAAGTAATCTCCAATGACTAATAAAATTCAATACAGGTTTTAATCCAGGCAATAAGAAAATGTCCACGGTGATATAATGGGGACACAATCAAGTTTAGTTTAAATTGTTATATTAGAGGCTCCTTGGTATGCCTCCCCATTCTGAGGTTTGAGGCTTGTTCTTTCTGGGTTAGTCTGCAGTGCAGTCTAGTAGTGAAGGGGCCTCAATGTCAGAGTCAGTTTAGGCTTTGATTCCTGACACTACACTTACGTTAATTCTCTGATCTTAGGGAAATGGATTTCCCCACCAAGCCTTGTTTTCTCTTCTGTAAGATATACGTGATACCGTAGAGAGTGTAGGGAAGGATTAGTAATATGCAATACATATAACATTACAGGTCATAGAAATCCATCAATAAATACCAGCCTTTAGTGTAGGTGCTACTGTGGCTGTAGTTACTAAGAGCATGGTCGCAAAGGAAGTTATTGCTAAAAATGTTACCAACGGCTTTGTTCTTTGTTTCTCAGGTGGGGTGTACTTCCAGCTGGCCCATGGAGAAAGGGTCAAGGGCCACAAGCTGCCATGAGGAAGTGAAGGAAGCAAACCAGTCACTGCACTGGGACCCACTGGCTCTTGAGTTGACTGCCGTGGGCTTACTTTACTCTCTTCCTTCCTTGATGTTTGTGTGCTCCATTCGGGCTACTGTGAATGGCCATTGGGATAAAGAAGACTAAAGGAAACTTTTATTTCCAGACCTCAAAATGTACTTTTTAGGTGTACAACTGAGCCCTTGTGGAAATTCTAGGGGTATGGAGAAACACAGGTACAGAGCAATGATCTGCAAGGAGACTCCATCTGGGGAGTAGGAGGAGACCCCACCTGCAGCAGAGCTGCTCACCATTGACAAAGAGGCTATTCCTGTCCAGGGTGTAGGGCCCCAGCTGAGTGACACCATGGGTCCCCTGGCTGAGCTCCCAGTACAGTTGTTCTCTGTGCAGCGTGGAGCCTGTGGGGTCTCGGTGGTGGGTGCAGATCATATCCACTGCGGTGCTTGTTCCCTTCTTTCCAGCCCTAGGGAAGGAGGGACATGGGAATCGAGACATGAGAGGTGAATACTCTTGACCACTCCTTTCTTCAGTTGCACCCCTTAAGTTTCTATATCGGCACTCTTCCCTGGGTTTTATCTGCTTTCTAAAACATATCTTTTTCCGTCTCATGGGGAAACCTAGACCACCCACCTCCTTAAATGCAGTGTTCTACAGGTTACTACAACTACTCCTTAGATAATGTTCTTCTTGTCCCCATTATCTGTTTATTTGATTGAAGCTCACTGTTTCAACTACCAGCCCCTAGGACACTCCCTGTCCATTCATGAAAGTAAATATAGATGGTGTTGCTCCAGTAGCAGCTTAGTCCTGCTTGGGCTGTGGGACTGGGGATGTGGGGCTCCCAGGGAAAGAAAATATGAGGACCCCGGGGCTAGGCAGCATGTGGACGGGAAAGACAAGAGGACTGGAGATTTTGGGGAAGACAAGCGATCACCCACATGGCTGGTTGTGATGCTGAGCCTGAGAACAGGAATTCATGCCTTTGAGAACACATTTTGGGCAGGCAATCAAGTTTGGAGGAGAACGAGTTAAGAAGTAACCATGGGCAATTGGTTCAAAAATAACTTTGTCCTGAATTTAAGCTGACTCTAAAGTGTTTCACTCAGAGCGAAGGCTTTACAGGGAGGAAGAAAGAACCCCTCCTCCCTTGCCTGTCAATTCTTCTAGCTATGATCCATGCTATTCAAAACATCCCCATTTTATACCCACATACAGCTATTGTTTATAAAAATATGTCACTTATGTTAACATGTAACAGGTTTATTATTTTTAATGAATACATGAATAAATTTTTGTTTTAATTTATAGCACAATATGGGCAGATATAACCCAAAGCCCAAAGGCTCTTCGAGTTCTGAATACTTTTAAAAATGAAAAAGGTTGCTGAGCCCAGCGAGCTTGAATACTGCTGGTATTGTGGATAAGCGAAGGATTTCCAGGACCAGAGCACCAGGTTCAAATCCCAGCTCTCCTTAAACTCGCAACTTGACTACTCTGCAAGGTCAGATAATAATCATATTGTTGTGAAGATGAATGAGTGAAAATGTGTAAATCACTTACATTTATTGGATGGCATATACTATGAGCATTATTACTATTATTATTATTGATTTCCCCATATTATGAAGAGATGGAGGCAGGTATGGTGGCTCAACTTATTGGAGGACACTTTGATCTACAATACACCAGGAATCTCTCCTTATGGAATGATGTGGGTAGAGGACCCACCTCTCTGGATGACTGATTTGGTTGGATGGAGGGACCACAGAGCGGCCATAGGGTCATCAAGTGTAAGGAAAGTATCCTGAGCGCACTGACCTCAGAGGACACTGAGTGTGGATGTAGACAGAGAAGACAGGCCATTTCTTCAGGGTTCAGGTCCATTTGAGAGTGTTAATATCACAATATATCTTTTTGGTACTCAATATTTGATTTGTTTTTCCCTTTGGTTCAATAAGACTTCCTTTGGGAAATCCCTACTTCTTTTCAGAAAATAAACTGTGTTTATTCTCTGCAGTGTCCTGCGTTTGTCTTGGGACAAATTGAGTTTGTCTCCAATAGGGTAGATATGAGCTGGGACAGGGAGAATGTCAAGGACTCTGGGAACACAGTTGGTAAAATGCTACCCTGGCTGGTACTTATGAGATCCCATTAATTGAGCACTCACAATGAGGCAGGCATTGCGATGAAAGATTAACAACTCCAAGAGCAAGCCACTGTTATTATCACCACTTTATAGGTAGCCTGATTGAAGTACAGAGAGGTTGTGTGCCTTGTCCAAACTCACACAGCTAGCAAATGGTAGAGCAAGGGTTCAACCTTGGGCATTTTGGATCCAGTATGTTAAACTGCCTTTCAGTAAAAGCCCAAGTAGCTGTGGTTGACCAGGATGTGAAGAGCCAAGAAAGGAGAGAAGTAAGATTTGCATAAATGCTTTAGAGGAGTTCTCACCTGAGCAAGGTCAGTCTGCAGCCAGCATAGAGGGAACCGATGCTGCTGCTGTTCTTGAACAAGGGCCCCAGCTGAGAAGGAATGAGAGGAAAATGAGTAGGAGGGGCCAAGACAGTAGGGTGTGGCAGTGTTGGGGAGAAGTGGAAATTACTGGGGGGCTCTTACCAGTTGCTGCAGGTATCTTTCAGTGGCACTGAATATCTCAGAGCTCAAGTTTCCCATGTCTTCCTTGTAGCGCATGTTGACGATGGTGAAGTTGACAGTAAAAGGCAGCAGGAGAGGAAGTGCGGCTGCAGTGAGGGGAGAGTAGAGTGAGGCCAGTCCCGAGTCAGGCCCAGGCTGAGGGAGGGAGGGAGGGAGGGCTCTGAGGATATGCCTTAACTCCAGTGCCGAGTTGTGGCCTGGTCTACGCTGTCCTCCTTGAGGCACCTTGTAGCAGTCACTGTCCAAGACCCCCCTACACAGGATGACCAACCATCCCAGTTTCCCCAGGATCATGGGGGTTTCTGGAAGACAGACTCTCAGTTTAGAAGTGTGACTGTCCTGGGCAAACTGAGAAGAGCTGGTCAGCCTAGTCCCACTTGCCCTTGACTCTTACTGTTTCTGCACATGCCAGAACCTGTATCTCTTTGGCTTAGGGAAATTACCAGGCCCAGAGAGCATGTCTCTAGCAAGGACAGGTAGCAGTTGGAAGATAAATACCCTCATATGGGAGGTCTCTAAGGTGCATGTTGTATGCATTCTCCCTTCCAAACTGCAGAACAAGTTTCTGTTGTTGAAGCCTTCCAGTTTGTGGTACTTTGTTATGGCAGCTCTGGCAAAGTAATACACCAAATGACCTAAAAATTCCATTTTTTAAAAAATCCTCACTCTAGGATATCTTTTCATACAGAATTGGAGGGAAGGAGAGAGGGGCACACACACACACACACACACACACACACACACAGAGAGAGAGAGAGAGAGAGAGAGAGAGAGAGAGAAATATGTATGTAAGACAGACACATTGATTGGTTGCCTCCCACATGAACCTGACCAAGGCCAAGGATAGAACCCATGACTCTGGTCTGTAGGTGGATGATCTAACTGCTGAGCGAAACTGGCCAGGGCCCAACAATTTCTTTTTTAGTGTAGTAAGTCCTCAACAGGTTCTACAACTTTAAGTGAAACAATGTATAAAGAAACCACTTTTACCATAGGCTAATTGAATGAAAACAGTTAAGTTCACATGACATCTCATCAATGTTATAATAAAACAAAGTTGAACATATCATTATTTGAGGACCTGCTGTATATCCCCCCCAAAAACTGGAAACAGGGATTCAAATGGATACTTGTACATCCATGTTCATAGTAGTATGTTTCACAATAGTCAAGAGGTGCAAAATACCTGCTTTTCCATCAAAGGATGAATGGGTAGATAAAATGTGATCTATCCACACAGTAGAATATTGTTCATCCATAAATAGGAAAAAAGTTCTGATACATAGTACAGCATGAAGGGAACTTGAAAACACTCTAACTAAAATAAGCAAGACACAAAAAGACAGAGATATTGTACACTTTCTCTTATAATGAGATATCTATAATAGAAAAATTCATAGAGACAGTAAGTAATTAGAGGTTATCAGGAATTTGGGTAGGGGGGGAAGGGGAATTATTGCCTTATGGGTACAGAGATCCTGTTTGGGGTAATAAAAATGTTTTAGAAATAGATAGTAATGATGGTTACACAACAGTGTGGGTATAATTAATGCCAATGAATTGTATATTTAAACAGATAAACTATATAAGATAGATAGATAGATAGATAGATAGATAGATAGATAGATGGAATAAAAAAAGTTATTCTTACTTGTTCCTGAAGTCATAGTCACATAGGCCAAGGTGAACACCTCAGATGTAGACACAGGGACAAGGGAAGTTTTGGATAGTGTATCGAAAGTGGTTGTAGTCTCGGCCATAGTGGAGCCTGAACCTGTGGCAGCTAATGGAGTGATCTCAGGAGTTGTTGTTTTCAGGAAAGTAGTTGGACTTGATCCTTCATGACTGGTTTTAGGTGCAGTCAAGGTCACAGTATCCCCAGTAACACTTACAGTAACAGTGTTGGAAAGTTCTGGGAGTCCAACTGAGGTAGCAGGTGGCAAGGTTTGTGTGCTCCAAGCAGGTACAGTATAAGGCTTACCAATGGTTGCAGGGGTAGTGGAAGGCTCAAGAACACCAGGGACATTAGTCAGAGTTGGAATACCGGTACTGGTCTCTGAAGCAGGACTGGTGGTCAGTAAGCCTGTGGTCTCTGGTAAACCATGGGAAAGAGTTGAAGTTGAAATAGTTGTGCTGAGGTCCATCCCAGGATGGGTAGAAAATGAGGCTGTTTTCATAGGAACATCTATTGATACTGTTGGACCCAGATCAATGCTGCTGGCATCATTCACAACTGTGGTGAAGAGAGAGGATGTTGTTTTTGGTGGACCAATGGAGACAGTTTTAGTTGGAAGAGATGAACTAATTGCCAACCCAGGTTGGGTGGACAGTGAGGCTGTGATATCTGGCAAACGAGGTAAAACAGTTGAAGCAAGAACGTTTATGCTCGTCTCTGCACTAGGGTGGGTGACCAATAAGGCTATAGTTGCTGGTTCACCAGGAGTAAGAGTCGAAATAGCCATGCTGCCATCAGTTTCAGAAACAGTGACCTGTGAGGTCACCTTACATGGTACACCAGGAGAGACAGTCAGAGTTGAAACAGCTGAACTGGCTTCTTTTTCAAAGTCAGTGGCCACTGAAGGTGTGGACTCTGATTCACTGTGAAAAACACTGGGGATTGTTTGGGGAACTGTTTGGCTGGTCTCTGTAGGATGGGTGACCAATAACACTGCTGTATCTGGCTCAACAAAGGAATCAGTCAGTGTTGAAACAGCTGTATTGGCTTCTATCCCAGAAATTGTCAGAGCTGAAAAAGTAGTGCTGGTGTCTGCCCCAGAAATAGTAGCCTGTGATGTCTGCACCCCTGATAAACCAGATGAGACAGTTCCAGCCGGAACACTTGAACCGGACTCTGCCCCAGGACTGGTGGCCATTGAGATTGTACTGCCTAATTCAGGAAGGGAAACATTGGGGGTTGTTTTGGAAACAGTTAGGCTGGTCTCTGCAGGAAGGGTGACCAATAAGACTGTTGTATCTGGTTCACTGGAGGACATAGTCAGATTTGGAACAGCAGACCAGGCTTCTGTTTCAGATTGGGTGACCCATGAGGATGTGGTCTCCAAATGATCTTGGGTATTAGTCAAGGTTGAAAAAGATGTGCTGGTATGTACCCCAGAACTAGTGGCCTGTGAGGTCACCACCTTTGGTACAGCAGGTGAGACAGTTCTAGCTGGAAGAGTTGCACTGGATTCAGGCCCAGGACTGGTGGCTATTGTGATTGTGCTGGTCTCTGTCTCAGAACTAGTAGCCTGTGAAGTCACCACACCTGGTAAACCAGGTGAGACACTCCCAGCTGGAACACTTGAACTGGAATCTGCCCCAGGACTGGTGGCTATTGTGATTGTGCTGTCCAATTCACTAGGGGAAACATTGAAAGCCCTTTGGGACACAATGGTCTCTGAAGTATGGGTGGTTATGAAAACTGTTGTATCTGGTTCACTGGGGGACACAGGCAGAGTTGGAATGGCTGACCTGACTTCTGTTTTAGGTTGGGTGACCAATGAGGTTGTGGTTTCCAGATGATCTTCTGAATGAGTCAAAGTTGGGAAAGTTGCGCTGGTCTCTGCAGCAGAACTAGAAGTCTCTGAAATCACTACCCCTGGTAAACTAGGTGATACAGTACCGGTTGGAACATTTGAACGGAATTCTGCCCCAGGAATGGTGGTCATTGAGCTTGTGCTTCCCAATTCACTGGGGGAAACATTGAAAGCTCTTTGGGAAACAATGTTCTCTGAAGTATGGGTGGTTATAAAAAATGTTGTATCTGGTTCACTGGGGGACACAGTCAGAGTTGGAACAGCTGACCTGGCTTCTCTTTCAGGTTGCATGAGCCATGAGGCTGTGGTCTCTAGATGATCTTGGAAATTAGTCAAGGTTGAAAAAGATGTGCTGGTATGCACCCCAGAACTAGTGGCCTGTGAGGTCACCACCTTTGGTACAGCAGGTGAGACAGTTCTAGCTGGAAGAGTTGCACTGGATTCAGGCCCAGGACTGGTGGCTGTTGAGATTGTGGTGTCCAATTCACTAAGGGAAACATTGAAAGTTGTTTGGGAAAAAATTGGGCTGGTCTCTGAAGGATGGGTGGTGATATAAAGTGTTGTATCTGGTTCACCAGGAGACATAGTCAGAGTTGGAAGCACTGACCTGGCTACTGTTTCAGATTGAGTGATCAATGAGGCTGTATTCTTCAGGTGATCTTGGGAATTAGTCAAACTTGAAAAAGCTGTGCTGGTTTCTGCCTCAGAACTAGTATCCAGTGAAGTCACCACAGTTGGTAAGGCAGGTGAGACAGTTCCAGCTGGAACACTTGAACCAGACTCTGCTCCAGGACTGGTTGCTATTGAGACAGTGCTGCCTAATCCATGATGGAAAACCTTCAGGGTTGTTTTGGGAACTGTTAGGCTGGTGACTGCATGATCGGTGACCAATAAGACTGTTGTATCTGGTTCCGGAAGGGACACAGTCAGAGTTGGAACAGCTGACCTGGCTTCTGTTTCAGGTTGGGTGACCCATGAGGCTGTGGTCTCCAGATAATCTTGGGAATTATTCAAGGTTAGAAAAGTTGTGCTGGCCTCTGCCTCAGAACTAGTAGCCTGTGAAGTCACCACCCCTGGTAAACCACTTGAGACAGTCACAGCTGGAAGAGTTGAACTGGATTCTGCCCCAGGACTGGTAGCCATTGAGATTGTGGTGTCCAATTCACTAGGAGAAATATTGAAAGTTGTTTGGGAAACAATTGGGCTGGCATCTGAAAGATGGGTGGTGATGTAAACTGTTGTATCTGGTTTACCAGGAGACACAGTCAGAGTTGGAACTGCTGATCTGGTTTCTGTTTCAGGTTGGGTGACCCATAAGGATGTGGTCTCCAGATGATCTTGGGAATTAGTCAAAGCTGGAAAAGTTGTGCTGATCTCTGTCCCAGAACTAGTATCCTGTGAAGTCACCATCCCTGGTAAACCAGGTGAGACAGTCACAGCTGGAGCATTTGAACTAAAGGCAGCCCCTGGACTAGTGGACATTGAGATTATGGTGTCCAAATCTCTAGAGGAAACACTGAAAGTTGTTTGGGAAACTATTGGGTTGGCCTTTGGAGGATGGGTAGTTATGTAAACTGTTCTATCTGGTTCACCAGGGGATACAGTCAGAGTTGGAACAGCTGACCAGGCATCAGTTTCAGGTTGGGGGATCAATGAGGCTGTAGACTCCAGGGGATTTAGTGAATTAATCAAAGTTGGAAAGGTTGTGCTGGTCTCTGTCTCTGTTTCAGAACTAGTAGCCTGTGAAGTCACCACACCTGGTAAACCAGGTGAGACACTCCCAGCTGGAACACTTGAAGTGGACTCTACCACAGGACTGGTGGCCATTGAAACTGTGCTGCTTAATTTATGGTGGGAAACATTGTAGGTTGTTTTGGGAAATGCTAGGGTGGTCTCAGCAGAATGGGTGACCAATAAGACTGTTGTATCAGGTTCCACAAGGGACACAGTTAGAGTTGGAACAGCTGACCTGGCTTTTGTTTCAGACTGGGTTACCAATGAGGCTGTAGTCTCCAGATAATTTTGTGAATTAGTCCAAGTTGGAAAGGTTGTGTTGATCTCTGCCTCAGAACTAGTAGCCTGTGAAGTTACCACTTCTGATAAACCAGGTGAGACAGTCCCTGATGGAACACTAAAATTGGAGTCTGCCCCAGGACTGGTGGCCATTGAGACTGTGCTGCCTAATTCACGATGGGAATCACTGAAGGTTGTTTTGGGAAATGCTACGGTGGTCTCTGCAGGATTGGTGGCCAATAAGATTGCTGTATCTGGCTCACCAGGGGACACAGTCAGATTTGGAAGAGCTGTCCTGGATCTTGTTTCAGGTTGTGTGACCCATGAGGCTGTAGTCTCCAGATAATTTTGTGAATTAGTTAAATTTAGAAAAGTAGTTCTGGTGTCTGTCCTAGGACTAGTGGCCTGTAAAGTCACCACTTTTGGTACACCAGGTGAGAGAGTCCTAGCTGGAAGAGTTGGACTGGTGGGCATTGAGCTTGTGCTGTCCAATTCACTAGGGGAAACAGTAAAGGTTGTTTGGGAAATGATTGAGCTGGTCTCTGAAAGATGGGTGGCAATGTAAACTGTTTTATCTGGTTCACCAGGGGATACAGTCAGAGTTGGAACTGCTGACCTGGCTTCTGTTTCAGGTTGGGTGACCCATGAGGCTGTAGTCTTTAGGTGATTTTGTAAATTAGTCCAAGTTGGAAAGGTTGTGTTGATCTCTGCCTCAGAAGTAGTAGCCTGTGAAGTCACCACACCTGGTAAACCAGGTGAGACAGTCTCAGCTGGAACACTTGAACTAGACTCTACCACAAGACTGGTGGCCATTGAGACTGTGCTACCTAATTCACGGTGGGAACCATTGTGGGTTGTTTTAGGAACTGCTAGGGTGGTCTCTGCAGAATGAGTGACCAATATGACTGTTGTATCAGGATTCCCAGGGGACACAGTTAGAGTTGGAACAGCTGACCTGGCTTCTGTTTCAGATTGGGATACCAATGAGGCTGTAGTTTCCAGATGATCTTCTGAATTAGTCAAAGTTGGGAAAGTTGTGCTGGTCTCTGTAACAGAACTAGAAGTCTGTGAAATCACTACTCCTGGTAAACCAGGCGAGACAGTCCTGGTTGGAACATTTGAACTGTATTCTGCCCTAGGACTAGTGGTAATTGAAATTGTGTTGTCCAATTCGCTGGAGGAAACATTGAAAGGTTTTTGGAAAACGATGGCCTCTGAAATATGTGTGGTTATGTAAACTGTTTTATCTGGTTCACCGGGGGACATAGTCAGAGTTGGAACCATTGGCCTGGCTTCTCTTTCAGGTTGAGTGACCCATGAGGCTGTAGTCTCCAGATGATCTTGTGAATTAGTCCAAGTTGGAAAGGTTGTGCTGCTCTCTGCTTCAGAACTAGTAGCCTGTGAAGTCACCACACCTGGTAAACCAGATGAGAGCGTCCCAGCTGGAAAACTTGAAGTCGACTCTGCTTCAGGACTGGTGGCCATTGAGACTGTGCTGCCTAACTCACGGTGGAAAACATTGTGGGTTATTTTGGGAACTGCTAGAGTGGTCTCTGGAGGGTGAGTGACTAATAAGACTGTTGTGTTCTGCTCCCCGGAAGACACAGTCAGAGTTGGAAGAGCTGACCTGAATTCTGCTTTAGGTTGGGTGACCCATGAGGCTTGGGTCTCTAGATTATCTTGGGAATTAGTCCAGGTTGGAAAAGATGTGCTGGTCTCTGCCACAGAACTAGTGGCCTGTGAGGACACCAGCTTTGGTACACCAGGTGACACAGTCCTAGCTGGAAGAGTTGAACTAAATTCTGCCTCAGGACTGGTGGCCATTGAGATTGTGGTGTCCAGTTCACTAAGGGAATCATTGAAAGTTGTTTGGGAAACAATTGGGCTGGTTTCTGAAAGATGGGTGGCTATAAAAACTGTTGTATCTGGTTCAGCAGAGGACATAGTGAGAGTTGGAACAGCTGAACTGGCTTCTGTTTCAGGATGGGTGACCCATGAGGCTGCGGTCTCCAGAAAATCTTGGGAATTAGTCAATGTTGAAAAGGTTGTGCTGGTCTCTGCCCCAGAACTAGTAGCCTGTGAAGTCACCACCCCTGGTAAGCCAGGTGAGACAGTCTCTGCTGTAACACTTGAACTGGATTCTGCCCCAGGACTGGTGGCAATTGAGATTGTGCTGCCTAATTCAGGATGGGAAATATTGTGGGTTGATTTGGGAACTTGTAGGCTGGTGACTGCAGGATGAATGACCAATAAGTTTGTTGTATTTGACTCACCAGGGGACACAGTCAGATTTGGAAGAGCTGACCTGGCTTCTGTTTCAGGTTGAGTGACCAATGAGGCTGTAGTCTCCAGATGATCTTGTGAATTAGTCAAAGTTTTAAAAGTTGTTCTTGTCTCTGCCCTAGAACTAGTAGCCTGTGAAATCACCACCATTGGTACACCATGTGAACCAGTCACAAATGGAACATTTAAACTGTATTCTGACTCAGGACTGGTAGCCATTGAGATTGTGGTGCCCAATTCACTAGGGGAAGCATTGAAAGTTGTTTGGGAAAATATTTGGCTGGCCTCTGAAGAGTGAGTGGCTATGGAAACTGTTGTACGTGGTTCACCAGAGGACACAGTCAGAGTTGCAACAGCTGACCTGGCTTCTGTTTCAGGTTTAGTGATCCATGAGGATGTGGTCTCCAGATGATCTTGGGAATTAGTCAAGTTTGAAAAAGATGTGCTGGTGTCTGCCCCAGAACTAGTGGTCTGTAAGGTCACCACCTTTTTTACATCAAGTGAGAGACTTCTGGCTGGAAGTGTTGAACTAAATTTGTCCCCAGTACTGGTGGCCATTGAAATTGTGATGTCCAATTCAGTAGGGGAAACATTGAAAGTTGTTTGGGAAACAAGTGAGCTGGCCTCTGAAGGATGGATGGCAATGTTAACTGGTTTATCTGGTTGGCCAGGGGATACAGTCAGAGTTGGAACAGCTGACCAGGTGTCTGTTTCAGGTTGGGTGACAAATGAATGTGTAGTTTCCAGATGATCTTGTGAATTAGTCAAAGTTGGAAAGTTTATTCTGGTCTCTGTCTCAGAATTAGTAGCCTGTGAAGACACCACCTCTTGTAAACCATGGGAGACAATCACAGTTGCAGCACTTGAGGCAGACTCTGCCATAGGACTGGTGGCCATTGAGATTGTGTTGCTTAATTCAGGATGGGAATCATTGGGAGTTGTTTTGGGAACTGTTAGGCTAGTCTCTGCTGGATGGGTGACTAATAAGACTGTTGTATCTGGCCCACCAGGGGACACAGGCAGACTTGTCAGAGTTGACCTGGCTTCTGTTTCGGGTTCTGTGACCCATGAGGCTGTAGTCTCCAGATAATCTTGTGAATTAATCAAAGTTTTAAAAGTTGTGCTGGTCTCTTCTCCAGAACTAGTAGCCTGTGAATTAACCCCCCATGGTAAACCAGAAGAAACAGTCCCAGCTGGAACATTTGAACGGAATTCTGCCGCAGGACTGGTGGCCATTGAGATTTTGTTGTTCCATTCAGTAGGGGAAACATTGAAAGTTTTTTTGGAAACAATTGGTTTTGTCTTTGAAGGGTGGGTGACTGTAGAAACTGTGGTGTCTGGTATACCAGGAGAAATAGTTATAGGTCGAATAGATGAACTGACTTCTGTCTCAAAGTCAGTGACCACTGAGGATGTAGATTTTGATTCCCAATGGGAAATACTGGGAGTTGTTTTTGGGCTGGTATTTGCAGAATGGGTGGTAAAAATGTCCCTTGTATGTGGTTCACCATGATAAACAGTCAGAGTTGGAATAGTTGAACTGGCTTGTGTTTCAAAATTGTTGAAATATGAATTTGTAGTGTCTGGTTCATGTGGGAAAGCAGTCATAGCTGAAAAACTTGTACTTGTTTCTGCTCCAGTACTAGTAACCAATGAGCTTACCACATCTGATACACCAAGTGAGACAACTGTAGTTGGAATGGCTGAACTGGCTTCTGCCCTAGTACTGATGGCTGTTGAGGATGTGGTATCTGATTCACTATGGAAAAATTTTGGAGTTATTCTGGAAATAGGTGTGTTGGTCTCTGCAGAATGGATCCATATAGCTGTTATATCTCTCTCACTATGGGAGATAGTTAAAGTCGGAACAATGGAACTGGCTTCTGTCTTAGGATGCGTGACCAATGAGGCTGTGGTCTCTGGTTCATATGGGGAATCAGTCAGAGTTGGAAAACTTGTATTGGTCTCTGCCCCAGAAATTGTGACCAGTGAGGTCACAAGCCCTGACACAGTAGAAGAAACAGTTGGAGGTGGAATAGCTGAACTTGTCTTTACCCCAGGATGAGTGGTCAATGAAGCTGAGGTTGTTGGTTCACCAGGAGAAAGAGTCAGACTTGGAATGGATGTACTGGCTGTATCAGTGCTACTGACCTGTGAGGTTATCAAATCTGGTACACCAGGAGAAACAGTCACAGTTGGAAAAGCTGAATTGGCTTCTGTCCCAGGGCTGGTGACTGATGAAGCTTTGCTGTCTAATACACTATGGGGGAAAATGGGCATTGTCTTGGACACTGTTGAGATGGTCTCTGCAGGATGGGTGACCAATAAGACTGTTATGTCTGGCTTACCAGAGGAATCAGTCAGAATTGGAACAGCTGAACTGAATTCTGCCCTATATTGGGTCGTCCAAGAGGGTGTGGTCTCCAGTTCATCTGGGGCAATTGTAAAAATTGGAAAAGCTTTGCTGGTAGCATGTGAGGTCACCACCCCTGGTACACCGGGAGATACAATCCTAGCTGGCACACTTGAACTGAATTCTGCCCCAGGACTGGTGGCCACTGAGATTGTGTTGTCCATTACACTAGGGAAAACGTTGAATGTTGTTTGGGAAACAACTGGTCTGGTCTCTGAAGTTTGGGTGGCTATGGAAAATGTTGTATCTTGTTCACCAGGGGAAATAGTCAGAGTTGGAACAGCTGACCTGGCTTTTGTTTCAGGTTGAGTGACCCATGAGGCTGTGGTTTCCAGGTGATCTTGTGAATTAGTCAAAGCTGGAAAAGTTGTGCTGGTCTCTGCCTCAGAACTAGTGGCTTGTGAGGTCACTACCTCTGGTACACCAGGTGAAATACTCCTAGCTAAAAGTGTTGAACTAGATTCTGCCCTAGGACTGGTGGCCATTGAGATTTTGCTGTTTAATTCACTAGAGGAAACTTTGAAAGTTGTTTGAGAAACAATTGGGCTTTTCTCTGAAGGGTGGATTATTGTGGGAACTGTTGTATCTGGTATACCAGGAGAGACAGTCACAGGTGAAACAGCTGAACTGGCTTCTGTCTCAAAGTCAGTGGCCACTGTGGCCACTGTGGATATAGATTCTGATTCACTATGGAAAACACTGGGAGATGTTTTGGAAACTGTTAGGCTGGTCTCTGCAGGATGGGTGACCAATAAGACTGTTGTGTCTGACTTACCAGAGGAATCAGTCAGAATTGAAACAGCTGAACTGACTTCTGCCCTATATTGGGTGGTCCAAGAAGGTGTAGTGTCCAGTTGACCAGTTGTCAGAGTTGTAAAAGCTGTGCTGGTGTCTGCTCCAGAACTAGCAGCATTCGAGGTCACCAGCCCTGGTACACCAGGAAAGACCATCTTAGCTGGAACACTTGTACTGAATTCTGCCCCAGGACTGGTGGCCATTGTGATTGTGCTATCCAATTCATTATGTAAAACATTGAAAACTGTTTGGGAAACAATTGGACTGGTCTCTGAAGAATGGATGACCTTGGAAACCGTTATATCTGGTTCACTAGGGGTCACAGTCAGATTTGGAAAAGCTGACCTGGCTTCTGTTTCAGGTTGGGTGACCCATGAGTCTGTGGTCTTCAGATGATCTTGTGAATTAGTCAAAGATGGAAAAGTTGTGTTTATATCTGCCCCAGAACTAGTAGCCTGGGAGGTTACCACCTCTGATACACCAATTGAGACAGTCCTAGCTGGCACACTTGAACTGAATTCTGCCCCAGGACTGGTGGCCATTGAGACTGTGCTGTCTAATTCACTATGGGAAACACTAAGGGTTGTTTTGGTACCTGTTAGGCTGGTCTCTGCAGGATGTGTGACCAATAGGACTGTTGTATCTGGCTCACCATGGGATACAGTTGGAGTTGGAACAGCTGATCTGGCTTCTGTTTCAGGTTGGGTGACCCATGAGGCTGTGGTCTCCAGTTGTTCTTGGAAATTAGTCGAAGTTGAAAAAGTTGTGTTGGTCTCTGCCTCAGAACTAGTGGCCTGTGAGGTCACCTCCTCTGGTACAACAGGTTTGACATTCTTAACTGGAACAATTGAACTGGTGTCTGACCCAGGATTAGTGGCCATTGAGGGTGTGCTTTCTGATTCATTTTGGGAAACACTGGGTGTTGTTTTGGGGGGAAATGGGCTGGTATTTGAAGGATGGGTTACAGAAGGGTCTCTTGTATCTTGTTCACTAGGATAAACAGTCAGAGTTGGATCAGCTGAACTGGTTTCTCTCTCAAAATGGTTGAAATATGAGGCTGTAGTCTCTGGTTCATGTGGGAAATCAGTAATAGTTGGAAAAGTTGTATTGTTTTCTGCCCCAGATCTCATGACAAGTGAGCTCACTACCCCTGATACATCAGGTGAACCAGTTATAGTTGGCATGGCTGAACTGACTCCTGCCCCAGGCCTGGTGGCTGTTAAAGATATGGTGTCTAATTTACTATGGGAAAAATTCAGAGTTTTTCTGGAAATAGAGTTGCTAGTCTTTGGAAAATGAACCCAGGAAGTTGTTGTGTCTGGCTTATGAGAAGATATGCTCATAAATGGAACAGTGGAACTGGCTTCTGCTTTAGGATGGGTTACCCATGAGTCTGTTGTCTCTGGTTCATGTGGGGAATTAGTCAGAGTTGAAAAGGTTGTACTAGTCTCTGCTGTAGAACTGGTGATCTGTGTAATTTCTGCTCCTGATACACCAGGGGGAATAGTCAAAGTTGAAATGTTTGAACTGGTCTGAGCCCCTGGGTGTGTAACCAATGTGACTGTTGTATATAGCTCACCAGGGGACTCGGTCAGAGTCTGAGCAGCTGGGCTGTTCTCTGCTGCAGAACTAGTATCTAGTGATGTCACCAACCCTGGCATACTAGGGGAGACAGCTGAAGTTGCAATAGTTGAATTGCTCTGTGCTGTGACCCATGGGGCTGTAGTCTCTGATTCATCTGGAGAACCAGTCAGAGTTGACATAAACATGCTTGCTTCTGTCCCAGGACTAATAATCTGTGAGGTCACCATTCCCAGTACACCAGGTGTGACAGTTGAAGTTGAAATAGTTAAACTGACTTCATCCACAGAACTGGTAGCCATTGCAGGTGTCATATCTGATTCACTATGGAAAACATTCAGGGGTGTTCTGGAAATAGTTGGGCTGGTCTCCACAGGATAGGTGACCCATGATGTTGTGGCCTCTGGCTCACCAAAGAAAACAGTCAGAGTTGGAACAGCTGTACTGGTCTCTGCTCCAGAACTAAAGACCAGTGCAGGGATGGTCAATGATCTTTGACTGAATATGGATGGGGTTGTCTTGAAAACTGCTGTGCTGGTCTCTGCTCCAGGTCTGGTGGCCAAAGAGGCAGTCTTCTCCATAACATCAGGGGAAATATCTGGTGTGATGATCACTCCTGTTGTGCTTGTGCTGGCTGTTTTACCTGATGTCTTGAGAGTCAGTATTCCCAAAGTAGAAATAGAGACTCCTGTGGTCCAAGTCGCTCTAGTGGTGGTCTGTGCCCTCTTTGTCCCTCCTGTTGGTAGTCCTGTAAATTGTGAGATGGGCATACAGTTTGAACAGAATGATTACCACTTACTGGACTGGTCTGATTTTTTTCTTCACATGAGAAAAGAAAGAAAAATGTCTCTGCCCAAAATGTACCTACAGTGTTTCTGGAATGGGAAAAGGAATTGTGATTGGCATTCCCCTACCTTCTTTGTATCATCTTGGGCTGCAACTCCCAAGTTGACCACTCCTTGCTCCCAAATGTTTTCTGTATTCTCCATCCCCTGAGTGTTTGTTTAAGCAGTTTTATCTGCTTGCCATGACCATCTCTCATCAGATTTCTTATTTTCTGTTCTTCAAACCTCAACTCAAATCTACCTTTACAAATTAATGTCAGAACTAATCTCTCCTTTCTTATTACCTCCTTATCATACTGTCTGAGCCTGCACTGCACCACACTCTACAGTTTTCTTGGTAATAAATATTCATGACTGCCTGCTTGACATATAGTAAATGCTCAACAAATATTTGTTGAATTAGTGAATTGATTAATGAATGAACACATGGATGGATATATGCATAGGCAGGTCTCCTCTTACTTGAGAGAGATCATGTATTATTGTGCTTAAGAGCTTGGATTCTGGAATAAGTTAGTCCCACACTAAGATTCTGGCTTCTCTACTAAATAGATGTATTGTTAAATCTCACTAGTTCTTCATTTTCTCACTTATAAAGTAAGGATAAGTATAGTGTCCATCTATAATAAGTATAGTGTTGATAAAACGTCACCAGGAATGGTGCCTCCTGGCTCACAATAAGACATTATTACTACTACCACTGCTACTACCTGCCATTACTATTATTACTACTATCACTGCTACTACCTGCTATTACTGTTATCACTACTGTCACTAGTATTGTTACTTCTATCTCTGCCACTACCTACCATTATGGCTTGTTACTACTGTTATTAGTACCACTGCTATTTCCAACAATTACTGTTATTTCTACTGTTATAACACCACTGCTGCTACTACCATTACTGCTGTTTCTACTACTGTTAATACTACCACTGCTACTATCTACCATTACTGCTGTTGTTACTATTACCACCTACTACTACTGTTATTACTACAGTTACTATGACTACAACAATTATTGTCACTGTTACTTTACTAAAGACATAACTACAGTTATTCTATTACTATTGCTACTGTTACTACTACTTCTACTTTTTGTACTTCTACTGCAAAATAAACATTTACTGAATTAAATTTCTCAGGAACCACCCTATTTGACTAATGTGAATTGAAGTCAGCCTCTGAGGAAGAATAAGAGTCACTGGCTGGGACAACTACTGAACAGGGCTTCAGAAAATGGTACCCAGGAGTGAAAAAGAAGTACTGGAGGCTTCTCAATAGAGACCACAAAGCCTACTGGAGATTGGTGCAGGGAGAGAGACAAAATTAAGAGGATTTTTACTCTTATGATAAAGGCATGACTCTGTTGCTGAAAATATTCTAAAAAATATATTTCTGAGAATAGACATTCTAAAGTGATTTGTAAAAAAAATGCAAAAATGGTGGTGGAATGAATGGAAGCTACACAGATGATCTCCCAGGACCAAATGGGAATTACAACTAAAATAATAACAAATCCTTGGGAAAAAGCAACAGAAAAGAAGCATATAACCAAAGACATCAGTAAGATCTGCAAAGGTGTGAGAGGGTGGTGGGCTGGGAGCCCATGGACAGCAGCAGTCTTAGCTGTGAGCAAAGCCCTCAGGGATAAAATACTAAGCTTCCTCCACAGCACAGAGTGCCGGAACGGAGCACTGGATTGGCTACAGCCTCTCACTTGGGGCTCTGGCAGAGGGAAGGTAGACAGGACTGGAACTCTGTGGGAACACCCGGGATTTGGAGGGCACTCAGAGGTTTTTCAGAGTCATGGCCACAAAGGATGGTGGCCAGCTTATTCCTTCCCAGAGCTGTGGGGAAAAGCAGCAGCTCCTTCCTCAGAGATTTAGACCCTTCCAGGTAAGGCAAAGAAATGCAAATTGAGGCTCATTAACAACCAGCAACTGTCCCACCCTCTGGAAATCCTCTTACACAGAACACCAGGCTATATTCCAAGGCATTGAGTAACTGAGACTAATAACCTTCAGGCTAAAAGCTAGAGGATAACTGAACCTTTCCTGGGCTTACAAATCTACCCAGGAAAGTAAGACTTGACAGTGGTGTTTAATGTGGGCCATCCAGGCTCATCCAAACCCAGTAGAAGAAGCCACAAACAGCAGAACACAAACACCCACAGGGTAGGCTCCCTGTGGGTAGGCTCCAAAACCCACTGAGATAGCCAAAATGGTGAAACAAAGAAACAAATCCCAAATGAAAGAACAAGAGAACTCTATCAATGATGAGATAAATGAAATGCAGCTAAGCAAATTATCAGATGTAGAGTTCAGAGCCATGATCTTGAGGAAGCTCAACAGCATGAGTAAGGATATCAACATCATGAGTAAAGACATAGAAACATTGAAAACCAATCAAGTGGAAATGAAGAATGACATAGCAGAAATAAAGAACACTTTGGAAGGTTGGAAGGACTAGGCAGCAGAGTACAGGAAGCTGAGGACCGGATCAGTAAATTAGAAGACAGGGTAGAAAAAAATCAACCAATCAGAAAATCAAAAGGAAAACACAATTAAAAAACAGAAAGATAGCTTAAGAGAACTGTGGGAGAACTGAAAACGTAATAACATTAGCATCATAGGAGTTCCCGAAGAAGAAGAAATGGGCAAGGGTTAGAGAATATATTTGAAGAAATAGTGACAGAAAACTTTTCTAACTTGATGAAGGAAGAAGGCATTCAAGTTCCACAAGCACAGAGAGCCCCAAGTAAGAAGAACCTAAACAGGCCCACACCAAGACACATAATAATAGAAATGTCAAAAACTAAAGACAGAGAAAATCCTAAAGGCAGCAAAAAATAAGCAACAGATTACCTACACAGGATAAGCCAACAAGGTTATCATCTGACATCTCAACAGAAACACTATAGGCCAGAAGGGAATCACAGAAAGTAATTAAGGTAATGAAAAACAAGGATCTGAATTCAAGATGACTCTATCCAGCAAGGCTATCATTCAAAATGGAAGGTCAAATAAAGAGCTTCCCAGACAAAAAAAAAGGTTAAGGGAATATATTAGCACCAAACCATCACAGCAAGATATGTTAAAAGGACTGCTGTAATTAGTAGAAGAAATAGAAAAAAAAAAAAAAAGAACACTAAACAAAAATGGCAATAAATAAGTACACATCAATTATCATCTTAAATGTAAATAGTTTGAATGCTCCAATAAAAAGACACAAAGTAGCTGATTGGATGAGAAAGCATGAATCACATATATGTTATTTACAAGAGACATACCTCACAACAAAAGAATCACATAGGTTGAAAGTGAAGTGATAAAAAAAAAAATCCGTCAAGAAAATGAAAATGTAAAAAAAGCTGGGGTAGCAATACTCATATCTGATAATTTAGATTTCAAATTAAAGGCCATAACTAGAGACAAAGAAGGCTACTACATAATATTGAAAGGATCTATGCAACAGGAAGATATAACCTTGGTAAACATATATGCACCCAATATAGGACCACCAAAATATGTTAAAAATCTTTTGGAGGACTACAAAGTAGAATTCAACACAATACAATCATAGCAGGGGATTTCAACACCCCACTGACATCACTGGATAGATCTTCTGGACAAAAAATTAACAAGGAAACACAGACTCTAAATGAAGCTCTAGATCAAATGGATTTTACATATATCTATGGAGAATTACAGCCCAAGACTGCAGAATTCACGTTCTTCTCAAGTGCACATGGGACATTCTCAAAGATAGACCCATGTTAGGGCACAAACTAAGTCTCTACAAGTTCAAGAACATTAAAATCATATCAAGCATTTTCTCAGATCACATTGGCATACAACTAGAAATCAATTGCAACAAGAACATGCAAAGACATTTGAACACATGGAGGCTAAATAGCATTTTATTGAACAATGAATGGATTACCAAGAAGATCAAGGAAGAAATTAAAAGATTCCTGGAAACCAATTAAAATGAACATACAACAGCACCAAATCTATGGGATGCAGCAAAAGCAGTTCTGAGAAGGAGGTATATAGCACTGCAAGCCCACCTCAAGGAACAACAAAAAAAAAAGTTCTAATTGACTATCTAACCTCACAACTTAAAGAACTAAAAAGCAAACAAAAAGAAAACCCCAGAGAAAATGGAAGGAAATAGTACAGATCAGAGCAGAAATAAATGTCATGGAGACCAAGTAAACAATTCAAAAAATCAATGAAACAAAGAGCTGGTTCTTTGAAAAGATAAACAATATTGATAGATCCTTAGCTAGACTCACCAAGAAACAAAGAGAGAGAACCCAAATACACAAAATCAGAAATGAAAGAGGAGAAATAATAACTGACACCACAGACATACAAAGGATTGTTAACAAATATTTTGAACAATTATATGGCAACAAATTCGACATTCTAAGCTAAATGGATAAATTTCTAGAAACACATACTCTCCCAAAACTGAACCAGGAAGAGAGAGAAACAAGAGCACAGGCCTGGACGGCTTCACAGGGGAATTTTACCAAAAATTCAAAGAAGAACTAATACCCATTCTCCTCAAACTATTTCAAAAAATTCAAGAAGAACGAAGACTTCTGAACTCATTTTTTGAGGCCAGCATAATTCTGATTTGCAAACCAAAAAAAGACACTACAAAGAAAGAAAACTACAGACCAATATCCCTGATGAACATAGATGCCAAAATCTTGAACAAAATACTAGCAAATCGGATCCAGTCATACATCAAAAAAATTATTCACCATGACCAAGTGGGATTCATCCCAGGGATGCAAGACTCATAAAATATTCACAAATCAGCCCTGGCCAGTTTGGCTCAGTGGTTAGAGTGTCGGCCTGCGGTCCAGAGAGACCTGGGTTCAGTTCCT